TTATAGAAGACAACAAAAACATTGTGTTAGTTTTAGGGTATGGAAAATTTTTCTTAGATAAGATATAAAAAAGACTAAACATAAAGATTGCTAATCTTATAAAATTAAAAATAAGAACTACATTTAGAGAGTAAAAAATAAGAAAAGATATTTATAATTGACATATATCACTGACAAAGATTATATACACAGGATATCCAAGTGGCCAATAACATGAAAAAGTGTTCAACTTCATTAGTAATAAGGCAAGGGCAAATTATAACCACAATAAGATATTTCAACACATCCTTGATAATGACTAAAATTTTTTAAGTTAACAAAACAAAGTATTCCCAAAATGTGGAATTATAAGATAAAAATAATACTCGTATGCTGATAATTGGAATAAAAATTAGTATAACTACTTTAGGAAGTTGTTTGATATTTTCCACTAAAGTTAGACATGTGAGCACCCTCTGATCATGTGTAATTCCATTGTAGGCATACACCCAACAGAACTGCATGCGATTTTATACCAAAAACCATACAGAAGGATTTCATAGCAGTATCATTTGTAATGGGCGCAAATATCCATGAATAGAGGAAGAGATAGGTAAACATGGCAAATTCTATTGATAGACTATCTATAGCAATAAAAATTAATAAAGTACAATTATCCTCAGCACCAAGGGCCATATACACGCATGCACACATACACACACACACACAAATTAAATAAATAATGGATACTTCCAGTTCTATAAAACTCAAAAACAGACAAATCTAATCTCTGGTGTTGGAAGAAGAAAGAGATAATCATTGAAAGGGGGCACATTGTGAGAGATATTCCACATACAAATAATTTCTGAGGGTTTTCTGCATGAGTATAATGCACCAATAAAAAAGTTTAAAACATTTTAATTATATGGGGATAAAATCAAGATAATAAAAAGATAACTGTGTTGGGCTCAGTGGTACAGTAAGTTCAATCCTCAGCTCAGAAAAGATAACTCAGAACTCAATAATGAGGAGTAAAGGACTGATGGACCTTCTTCTGCTTATACTCAGAATCCAACAGTACCAATGTGGAGTTAGATATGTGGTAGACAGGCCTAAGTTTAACCTTCTAGTTATTCCCTATTTTTAGCAAAAGTCTCTGTCTTAGAAATGTAACTCTGATGCCACATCTTTTGTCTCATAGTGCAAATCTAAACTAAACAACAACTGGTGGTATTCTTTGCTACAAAGGCTAAATTATTTATTAGTTGGGACACTATAACAAGAAAATTGCTAAGTAATTACTTTCTCCCTTACAGAAGCAGACCTGCTTAGAACAATATAATGGCTATTTTCATTATCAAGAAACTTGTTATAATCTTTTGTATGTTTTTTAAACAGGAGAAAAATATTTTAATTATACATATATGCTTAGGAGTCCCATAAAATATATGAGACTCCAATTTTTTTTTTATCTTTAACACTCATACTTAATCAAAATTGGTGTATATTGTTGATATATATCAATAAAACAAAAATAAGTAAACATTTTGGATCTCCAAATCCTCATTATTTTATCTTCTTCATATAAGTTGTAAATATTTTTGCTAACTATGTTTAAAAAAGCAATTCAGTTTAGCTGAGTGCGGTAGCACACTCCTGTAATCCCAGAAACTCAGGAGACTGAGGCAGGAGGATGGAGAATTCAAAGACAGCCTCAGCAAGAACGAGGTGCTAAACAACTCAATGAGGACCCGGTCTCTGAATAAAATACAAAATAAGCCTGGGGATGTGGCTCAGAAGTTGAGTGCCTCTGAATTCAATCTCCAGTACCCCCCCCAAAAAGCAATACAGTTTATATACATTACAACAAATTAATAACAATTATTAAAGCTATATGTGTTCATAGTATTATTCCTTAAATGTCTCTGTATTTGAAATATACAATAAAAGTTGAGGGGAAACTTGTATCATTTTATACAATATAGTCTTTAAAACATGTGTCAAAAAATTTGAGAGAAATATACCAAAATGTTAACAGTGGTCATTTCTAAGTGGCAATATATTTTTTTCCTTCTTACGTGTTGGTTTAATTTTTCTATAAGCAATTATTTCCTTTCATAAAAATTAAATTTACTTTTCATAAAAGAAATAAATCACTGGGAAAACATACAAAAATTGCTGGCCCCTAAGAAAGATTTCATCTTTGAGGTTTGAAGCCCATAAAATCCTATCTCTATATAAATTTTATTATTGAGAATATTTGGGATTGCAGTGCCATCTAACTATACATCCTTTGGTATGCTTTTCATTTCAGCAAGTATTGAAGAAAGATTCTAATGCTTTAGCTAAAATTTAATTAAGAACTGAATTCATAAAAGTGACATCACACTGTTAGAAGAGAAAATGTGAAGTTCAAATTCATGCTGTCCCTTCATTATCTGTGTGAAAGAAGGCATGTGACTTAAATTCTGTTTCCCATTCATCATCTGCAGAATTGAAATAAGAAAACCTACTGCTGAAAATTTTTGTGAAGATGAATTGAGAAAGTGTAAAAGATCTACTGTGGGGCTTAGTCCATAAATTGTGTTCAATTAGAAGGCTGAAAAATTAGATAGCAAGCAGCTAGAACAATGTCTGAAAACAGCTTATGCTGGATACATAGTACTATAAAGACCAGAATGATTAATTTTCCATGATCTTTTGTTCCCTGCATGGAATGCAATGGTCTACCAGAGTGGGAATTGTAAGAGAGCTACCTCCCAGGGGCCTGAGATAAGGCCTGGCACATGGAAGGTGCCCCATAACACACTGCTGAATGAACAGAAAGAAGCATGGATGTACAATTTCAAGAAGGACCAGAGACAACCATGTCTTAGACAACTCAAGAGAGGATGAAAGAAATGCTCTGATCCTAGTAGGCATGACCTAAGCTATTTTGGGAAGACAGGTTTGTCTGACCTTTATAGAAAGTATGGCCACACGAGTAAGTGGGGGGGACTGTCAGTGCGCTGGAATTATGGGATACTCTGGGTAGGCAAATATCTTCAAGTGGCTTCTCCATTTAAACCTGCACCTTGTTTCCCTTTGCTCATAGTGTAAAATCCAAACCCCATTCACAGGCTCTGTCAACCCTTCTGCCTACCTCTCAGTGCTCTCTTCTAGCTCTACTGTCTTGAACTCCAGTTCCTGAGTACTACCCTGCTATTCTTGACCTCCACCTCTGAACCATGGATTTCCTTTTGCCTCACACTTACATTTAACCCACTCACACTTATTCCCTTCTGACATCTAGTGTGTACACACTGATACTTCAGGTTTTAGTTCAAATGTCCTTTACTTAGAACCTTCCTTAACAAATGCACCTCCCCAAACTAGCCCACCATCAGGGTAGGTTTAGAGACCCTTCTATGTGTCCCCACAGCTCTCTGTATTTGCTCCACCTTAGCACTTATAGTGTCCAGGTCCTTCCCCCACAACCTGATGTAAGCTCCAAGATATTAATGACTTTAGTCTGTTAAATTCACTGCTTTGCCATCAGTACCCAGAATAATGCCTGGCTAATAATAATGGGCACCCCAAAAACATGTGTTGGATAAAATGAATGATTCATATCCAGATTGTATTAAGCTCCATGAGGTCTGGTTTTGAGTTGGTTCCTATATCATCAACAAAAGGATAGTGTCTGGAACATAGTAGCTATTCATCAAATAAATAAACTTCATTTGATGTTGATTATCCATTCAAACATCACACATGTGCTTATTTCAGGGACCTAATAAGAAAGGGTTGGTGTCTAATACTTCAATAGTTTACATTTTATTCTATTAATGTGTTCAACATTTTTGCTAATTTTTACATTTATATTATCTAATTAGCAACACTGAAACATTCTCTGTTGATGATATAAAATACCAATGATGCCAATTTCCAACTTCAAAAAATTTACTTATTATTTATCTTAATTGTTTTGTTATTCTTGTACCCACCTATTAGTCTGGGTAAAATAAGCCCAAATAACAGGTGTTAGTAACACTTGGCTTTAAATCTTTCATCAAGAATATAAATCAGACACCTAAAATAAGTTAAATCCTCTTAGAACCAACTCAGATCACCTTTGTAAAGATGCAATGCCAACAAATTAGTAAAGTCTCAGAACATTAGTACACACTCACAATGATCTGAACAAAGGCTGCCCTTGCAAAAACACCCACCCCTCCCATTCTCAGAAAAACATGTGTTCGATTAAGCTGGGTAGGGGAGCTGGGGGCGTAGGATTGTGCTTTGAAACTCCATTTGCATAAGGAATTTTCGCCCTTTCGTTTTTATAACACATAAACATAAATAACAATGTAGGACCTCGAATTTGTTTGTTTTGCAAGGTTTTTTGGTAGATATGTCATTACATTTAAAATTAATGTTTACGTCACATGGTTAATTACCAAGACTCATCAATTATTGACTCTTCCTGACCAATGGTGCTATCAGGATCACTTAATTTTTATTTAGTGCATAAAATGGAAACACCACTGAAAGTGCTGCCAAGAATCTCAGAGCAGAATTAGCCAGCTGGAGTTTCTGCTAAATGATGAGCAAATGCGTAGTACTACTCTTACCATTCAGGCTTATGAAGTGATTAATTTTATCAATAGCTACAACTGTAGGCCAGCTGTATATAGCAAATGGGATTGGAACTTTGGCAGTTTGCTATGATGTCATAAATACTTTTGAAATTGGTTTTAGTTATTGTATTTTTTTTAAGAGATGGGAATCTTGCTGTGTTTCCTAGGCTGGCCCCCAGTTCCTGGGCTCAAGGGATCCTCTTGTCTCAGCCTCCCAAGTAGCTAGGATTACCACAACTGGCCAGTTAATTTATTTTTAAACCACTTAGTTTCAGAAAGGATTTATGACAGTGTTTAAAGGCACAGTAAATATAATCCCGCAAGACCTTTTTTAAAATCCATGAGCCACATGTGGCATAGGAGAAATAAAGACGGGGCATCACAGGCCTCTTCTCTTCTTACCTGTGTACTGCAACCCCCTGTACTCGCTTATTGCCCCAGGAGGTTTTAAATTGGGCCAATAGTGGAAAAGCATTTGCACAGCTGGAGGTTTCACTTGTGAAGGCCCATAGGCAATAACATACAAAAGGTCCTACAGGAAACAGGAAGCATATTTTGACTTAGCACCATCAAATAAAAATAAATATTCATTCACTATTACTAGAGCAGTGGGAATTCCAGTGGAGAGGGTGAGGTGGGTCACTTTCCTGGAATCCATCATCCAGGTGTGCTTCACAGTTTAGACCACATTATAGCATTATAATTATTCATTATTTGCTCATTTATTTGTTCTTCTATAAATGATCCCTCCGGGCAGAATTCAAAAGTACACTATCTTATAAAATTTTTTCCCAAATTAGATTCATCTTAAAGAAAGATTTTAGGGATTTTGTTTTGTTTGCAGTGCTGGAGATGGAACTCAGGGCCTTGCACATGCTAGGCAAGCACTCTACCACTGAGCGACACCCCAACTCAAAGAAAGTGTTTAGAATAACATACATCAGTTTAAAAAAATATTTTCCTAATCACATTTCTTAACAATTCACATCTCCTATTTGAAAGAAAGCAGATTCTCAACTTTTCAAATTAAAAAAAAAATACATGTCATACAGCATAATATTTGCCTAATTTCAAGAATAAGATGTATTTAATTATTTTATCTGTCAAGACACCGCTCTAAATGATAGTTTAGTAAAGAAAAAAGAATATCCACTGCCACATAAGAAAACTAAGACAACAATAACTTTGACCTAAGCAACAGATACAATATGCAAATAATTTTTACCATTTTAGATAAATTAATGTAGTGACTATGGGTTAAATTTGACCCCAAACTTACTTTCCAGACTTCTTGTTTATATTTCATGAGGCATTCCAGTAATTGACAATGATACACTGTAAGAAGAAAATGTAATGTGCACATGAAATGTAAATACCAAACATCCTTTGAGATACATAAACTACTTTAATATGATTTCCAATTCCAATCATTAAATTGTTAATTACTTATCGCCACACATTCATATTTTCAAAAATACCATAATCTCTTGACTTATCAAGCTTTACTCAAGGTCTTTGAGAAGTATGACACATATCATATTACTAGACATGTTAATAAAAGTCTTTAGTGATCATATTTCTGCAACATAAACTTGTATCAATGCAATAAAGAACTACAGAGAAGGGAAAACAGGATCGTAATGAAAACTCATTTATTGAGAATTCATTATGTACCAAGTTTCAGGCTAAAAGCTTTATGGCATATTATCTCACACCCACTGTGTTTCAGTTCAGAAAATAACTTCCTATCTTGCCCAAAGATGGACAGATAGCAACTGACAGACTGATGGGATTAGAATGAGAGTTTTATCACCTGAGCAGTGTTATGGTTTGGATGTGAGGTGTCCCCCAAAAGCTCATGTGTGAGACAATGTAAGAAGATTCATAGGAGAAATGATTGGGTTATAAGAGTCTTAACCCAATCAGTGAATTAATCCCAATAGGGATTAACTGAGGGGTAATTGAAGGAGGTGGGAATTGGGGCTTTGGGTGTATATTTTGTATCTGGAGTGTGGAGACCTCTCTTTGCTTTCTATTCACCATGTAAGCTGCTTCCCTCCCTCACAGTCTTGCACTATGATGTCCTGCCTCACCTAGAGCCCCAAGGAATGAGCCAGCCTTTTATGGACTGAGACTCTGAAACTGTGAGCCCCCAAATAAACGTTTCCTCCTTTAAAATTGTTCTAGTCAGGACTGGGGTTGTGTCTCAGCGGTAGAGCGCTCACCTAGCTTGTGTGAGGCACTGGGTTTGATCTTCAGCAACACATAAATAAATAAATAAATTGTGTCCACCTATAACTAAAAAATAAACATTTTTTAAAAAATTGTTCTAGTCAGATCTTTTAGTCACAGCAGCAAAACAGCTGACTAAAGCAAGCAGTAATTCCATCTTGGGAAAGAATTTTTTCAGAGCTACACAGCAACAAGCTCCCTTGATTTCCCATGTTCACTTGAGGAGTAAAGACACTGTCATCCTAGTTAGATACCTTTTTGCTCTACCTTCCAGCTCCATCATGACCCTGACATTGTTCTCACTTCAGCCACCAATGACCCTATGGCACTCAGTTCAGTGGATGGTTTTCAGTCTGCATCTCATTGATGTCTCAGCAGCATTCAGTGCTGCTGACCACTGTCGGTTTTTTAAATCACTCTCTTCCCATGGCTTCCTGATGTGACATGACCCTCTCCTATCACCTGTGTTGGACACTGCTATCAACAACCCCTTTTCCCTGTCATCTGCCAATGCACAGACTTTTCCAAATCCCCTTGCAACCACAGGACTCCATCCTTGCCAGTAGGACCTAAGAGAGAAAACTTCTAGGGAACTTCTCATATTGTTTTCCTCTTTGATTAAAAGAAAAGGGCCTACCAAGAGACCTTTCTCTAACGACTCTACCTCATCTTGTTTTTGAATGTGGTTGTCTGAAGAAATAACGACCTCCACTGTGGCAGTCATTGCACAAACATGAGGGAAAGTCTAAGGAAACACGAAGATGCTATCTCAGCCCTTGATACTGTAGAGCTAACTTTAAGACTTCCTACTGAGCAAACCACAAAAGTGTTTTGTAGCTTTTATTTCAGTTTTCATTTTTTAATTGATTTGTTATAATTATGTATAATTATATATGAATATTATAATAGTGGGATTTGTTACACATTTGTACATGTAGTTTAAAGTATCTGTTAGCTAAGCAGGTAACTCTCAATCTCCTTGGCAACTTCACCCTCTTCCACAGGTCCACTTCCTTTTGGAGTTCCTAGAGGCCTGGTCCAAGAAACACTCTACTTTTCATTCTGTACTCTCCCCCAAGCAATCTCACACTCATATTAACTACAGAAGCCATCTATGTGAAATTGGATGAAGGTCATTTGACACTCAGGTGTAGGCTCAGAATTCATTATCTCTAGTCTAGAATTCTGTTCTGAGGTCCAAAACTATAACACAACTACCTAATTACCATCTCCTCTGAGATGTCTCAAAGGCTTCTTGAACACAGCATATCCAAAACAGATCTCACGCTCTTCCCTCAGAAGCCTCATCTTCTGGTGCCTCATTTATCAATGAATATAACCTCCATGTCTAGTTAGAGCAAGTCAGAAGAAACCCACTAGATCCAATGTGTCTGCAAGTCCTATCAATTTGACTTCATAAATAGCTCTCAGTAGATCCATTTTTTTCTATTTCAATTGTCCTTGCCTTTGACATGCATGCCTGAACAAATGCAATGAGTTCCTTATCAGTCCATCTATACCCAATCTGGCCCTTTCTCATTCCATTCTCCATTGCATCTACTTAAAACCCCTCAGTGGCTTCCCATTAGATATGATATAAACAGAGGACTTCTTGCCTAACACAGCCTACAACATCCTGAATGTTCTCTAACTCTCAGCTCATACTAGCTAGCCCTCCCCTAGAGTTCCATCTACACTGATCTTTCAGTCTCACTGGCTTGCCAGGCTCCTTCTTGACACAAGATTCTGCCATCTTAACTTCTGTCTCACTCCCATCCTGTAGATCTTCTTAAAATAACTCACTCATCATTCAATTCTTGTACCAAAACTTGCTTCCTCTGAGAAGCCCCCACCAAACTCCTCAACAAAAGCAAAATTTCCTTTCATAGAGTTTTATAATACAAGGTACTTCAGGCATTTGTCACAACTGAAACTTTATCCTTGGTTTTATAATTATTTGATTAATATATTTCCCCTCCTCCAAAATGTGATATGCTTCACAAGATGAAGGTGGGATCTGCTCTGTTTATTAACCGTAGGGTCCCATACTCAGTGACAATGTATTGAATAGTTACTCTAGAAATGGAATGTTGTCTTTAAGCCACCACTGAGTGTTTAAGTACACATGTTCCAAGACACTTTCTCTTATACAGTGTCTGTCTGCATGTTCTGCTACATGAACCTCTGTAGTATTCTACCTACTGCCCCCTGAACAGACCTGGAAAGTTCCTCTGTTTAAACTATTTCCCTCCCAGAATGTCTTACTTATCCTATCAATCAAAACTCTATCCATATTTTCTTTGCTCAAGGAACATAAAGCCTTTCCTGATCATTTCAATTCATAGAGTTCTCCCCCCTGATTAATTAACACCATCTATAGCATTTATTTGGCACTTTTCACATAACCTGTACATGGTTAATTAATGACTTAAGTAAATATGCCTAACTGACCCAATTAAATAAGTTCCACAAGAAGAGTCATATTTTGTATTTCTGTGTGGTTATCACTGTTTCTAACAGAGAATCCTGTACATGGAGGTGATTCAATCAATGCCTCTTACTTGAGGAAGTGCTCTTCTCTGTCCTTGACACATAATCAGCCAAAGAAACAAGCTGCCACTTGTTGCTTCTCCCAATAAATATTTAAACAATAGATAGCATTAGAGCAGATTATGCTAAGTGAAGTTAGCCAAACCCCCCCCCCCCCAAAAAAAAAACAAATGCCGAATGTCTTCTCTGATATAAGGGGTGGGGGAGCATGGGAAGAAGATTACCTCTAGATAGGGAAGAGAAGTGGGAGGGAAAGGAAGGGAGAAGGGGAATCTCACGGAAGATGGAAGGAGACCTTCATCATTATACAAAATACATGTATGAAGATGTGAGGGAAAAAAAAAGAGAATAGCATCACCTTGGATAGAAAGAAGTGATGGGAGGGGAATGGAGGGGATGGGGATAAAGGAAGGATAGTAGAATGAAATAGACATTATTATTGCTGTGTGTATATACCAATGTGATTCTGCAACCTGTACACTCAGAAAAATGAGAAATTATACCCCACCTGATTCAAATGTATGATATGTCAAGGTCATTGTACTGTCATGTGTAACTAATTAAAACAAATAAAATTTTTTTAAAAAAAGACAAGCCATAAGATTAAGAAAAAAAAATTTAAACAATAGAATGATGTCTGTGTACTCGGCCCCAGTGGATTTTGCTTTACTTTTTAACTGTTTCCCGTATCACAAGACTATTTGGGGCCAGAACTGTAATTCCTAGTATAAAATAGCTGGTTATAAGCATTTCCCATGAACATATGAAAATACATTGGAAATAATCTGATAAATAATTCTACCTGATCACAGTAGAGATAAAAATATTCAGATAAAAATATTCAATTCTATGAAGAAAATGCGAAACCATAGAATTTGCATTTCTTTTATTTGGTACAATGTGCTAGTCACTGTCAAGCACTTTACCTATACTTAACTCACTACAAATTCAAAACAACATTTTAAAGTACTGTAAGAAGAATTATTCCCATTTCATAGATGAGGACACATGATCTTGGGAAAGTTAAAAAACTTGCTCTGCACTGCACTGTCATTTGTAGGTAAACTCAGATACAAATCCACATACAAAGTACCTCAAAATACTTCAAAGTACAGGATTTTACCATTCAATGTTAGAATCTAGGCTTCATGATAAGACTTTATTTTTAAATTAAATACATAAATGAGTAACAATCTTTTATTACATGGTAAGACTTTAATTAACTAGATCCAAATTAAGGGGTTTTTTTTCAGAACATAACAGATCTTAAATGTAAATGATATTTTGATGGTCCTTGAAGCTAAACAGTGAAATGTGAGATATAGCATTCCCCCAAACATACATTTTAATTAAATCCATATGATAATCATAAATCATTTTATACTTAAAAAATGCTATGGACTAAATATGCTCCCTCAAAATTCATGTTAAATTTAGTGGTAGTATTAGAAGGTGGGAGTCTTTGGGAGATGATTAGCTCATGAGGGCAGAACACTCATGAATGCCCTTATAAAAGAGGCTTCAGCATTCCCTTGCTCTTTCTGCCATGTGAGGGCATAGACAAAGATGGTTGTCTATGAACCACATAGTGGGTCCTCACCAGACCACTGAATCTGCCAGCACCTTGATCTTGGACTTCCCAGCCTCCAGAACTATAAGTATTTATTGCACACAGGCCACCCAGCTTAAGGTATTTTTGTTATAGTATCTGAAACAGAGGAAGACAGAAAAATGGCACTGAAAAGTAGGGTGTTGCCATAACAGCACCGAAAAATGCAGAAGTAGCTTTGGAACTAAGTAATATGTAGGAGCTACAAGAGTTTTGAGGTACATTCTAGAAAAGCCTACATTGCTATGAATGGACCTTTTTAACTGTTTCAGATAAAAAAGAACAGAGCCATTGAGAAAGCCTCCATCTTCTTAAAGAATCCTAAGTGATCCTGAACGAATGTTGGTAGAAATATGGACAGTAAAGGCGGTACTGATAAGGTGTCAGACAGAAATAAGGAACGCAATATTGGAAGCTGGAGGAGAGGCCATCCTGTTACACAGTGGCAAAGAACCTGGCTGAGTTATGTCGATGTCCTAGTGTTTGGTGGAAGGTAGAATTTTTGAGTGATGAAACTGGCTATCTGGCTGAGCACAGTTCTTAGAGAAATGCTGAAAGAGCAGCCTGGCATCTCTGACTGCTTACAGTAAAATTCCTGAAGTGAGAAATGATTTAAAGACAGAAATGGTAATCAAAAAAGCAGCAAAAGTTAAAGATTTGGGAAATTCTCTGCTTATCTGTATTAAAAGAATGAGAAAAACTTGTTAGGAAGAGAACACTAAGGGCACAACTAAGCAACTAATAAACAGTCTACTGAACAGAAACTAACGACAGCCAGCCTTCCCAGGAGAAGGCAGGAGCTGCTGCCCCAGATGAGGGAGGATGACACTTTAGGAATCCTCAGAGCTGCCTGGCACAGTGGTGCACTCATAGTCCCAGCAACTCAGGGGGCTGATGCAGAAGGATCATGAGTTCGAGGCCTGCCTCAGCAATTTAGCAAGACCCTGCCTCAAAATTAAAAATAAAAGGATCAGGGTATGTGACTCAGTGGATAAGTGTGCCTGGGTTCAATCCCAGATACGGGGGGGGGGGGGGGGAGAAAAGAAGAAGCCACCCACACTTGGGGAACTTCACACCTGCTACCTGGCCCACCTCACTGCTGGCTGCTTCCGGTTCCTACATTCTGGTGCCTTGTGCTTCAGCTGCTCCTCAGTGAAGTGCCTTTGTCCCCAACATAGCATGTGCTGCACCAACAAAGCTGTGAGGGCTTCCACCTTGATTTCAGTGGAGCCCAAGAGAGTCATGATCACAGGACCCAGCCTGTCAGAGCAGGCTGAGGCAGAAAACTGACATGGCAGCAGGATTATCATAGAAATCCCTTCTCGGGCAATGTCAGGAGAGCCATGCTGGCCAGGCTCCCTAAATCCATGAGGCAGGACCACCTGGAGCCTTGGAGCCCAACCCTTACCCAACAAAGCTGCTGGGAAGGAAGAACATCAAGTCAAAGATTTTTCTCAAGCCTAAAGTTTAATGTTTTGGGGTGTTGGACCTACATAGAACCTGTCACTCCTTTCTTTTTTTACATTTCTCTCTTTTGGATGGGAATGTCCATCCTATGCCTGTCTCACTGTTGTGTTTGTTTTGATGGTGCTAGGAAGAAAACCCAGTACTCCTCATATGCTAGGTAAATGCTCCAACACTGGGTGTCTGCAACCCAAGTCCCCATCATTTTATTTTGTTTTAGAAGCATATAATTTATTTGATTTCACAGGTTCACAGCTGGAAAGAAAATTATCTCAGGATAAATCATAATTCAAGTCTCACCTACATCTGACTTAGATGATATTTATATGAGATGTTGGACTTTGGACATTTGACGTGATATTGGAATGAATTGACACTTCTGAGGTTGTCAGAATGGAATGAATGTATTTTGCATGTCAGAAAGACATGAAGTTGGGGTTGGGGACAGTGATAGAATGCCAAAGATTGAATATGTGTATCCCCCTAAAACTCGTATGTTAAATCCTAACACCCAATGTGATGGTATTAGGAAGTGAAGTGAGGCCCTTATGAGTGGGATTAATGGAATTAGAACTCCCTTGCTCCTTCCGTATGAGAGACTACAGAACAAGCGTGACCATCTGTGAATCTGGAAGCACCAGACCACTAAATCCACCAGTACCTTGAACTTGGACTTCCCAGCCTCCAGAACTATAAAAAGTAAATGTTATGTGTAAGCTGCCCAGTTTATGGTATTTTTGTTATGGCAGCCCAAACAAACTAAGGCAAAGGATGAGAGCTGGGTGAGTTAGTGTACTTCCTAATCCCAGCTATCTGGAAGATGAGGTGGAAGGATCATTTCTGCTCAAGAATTAGAGGCCAGCCTAGGGAAAATAGCAAGACATCATCTCAATTAAAAAAAAAAAAGTTCAAGGCCAACACTCTAGATTAAGAAGCATTAAGATTTTGAAATGGAAAAAAAAATTTTTCCTCATTCTTCAGTCAAAAACTCCAAAATCTCAATTATTATTCTACTTAATTAAACAGAAGGTTTAAAACAGTGCTATAATATGTATTCCTTTCCAAATAAACAATAACTGAAAAAAAACTGAGTTCATATCTCAGCATATGACTCCTATAGTCAGCTCCTTTTTAGATCAGCTCCCCAAAGTTCATCTGAAATTATACTGACAAATGGAAATCAAATAGAGCAAGTTATATAAAACCTGTCCAACAACACTAGTAATCCAAGACATAAAAATCAAAATGAGATTTTTTAATCTATTCAACTCTACAAATTTTATGATGATACTCAGTGACCAGTCATAATGAGACAAGTACTTTCAAATACAATTATTGAGAATATTGAAATTTTTTCAAGCCCTTTAACCCATGAATCCCTCTTTTATTAATTTATTCTAAAGGAAATAATCAGAAATGTAGTAAAAGGTTTGTGTTCAAGGACATTGGTATGACATTAGAGGACCAAACTTGTCAAATTATTAACCAAAGTTATTTTTAGTTGTTAGAATTAGATATTTTTATATTTCCAATTGAACTTTTCTATATATTTATATTCAATCAAATTCCTCAATGTTCTAAAATTTTGTCCTCAAACATTCTGAAAAAAAACACTAGTTGCAAGAGCACTAATTACTTTTAACAATAGGCAATGAAAATTTATTTTAATTCAAAAATCTGTTTTCTAACACACCTCCAATTGCCAATTCCACCAAGAAAAGTTCTCACATGAAAACTTCTAGCTTGATTATTTAACATCTTACTTAATGATTGGTTTTGGAATTAGTCAAGACAGATTTCCACTTACCTGGATTAGATGTGTACTGCATTGCAATCATTAGCATGGAGGATGCAGACAGATTAACATGGGCAGGAACACCTTCTCTCCTGGAGGAACCCACTGAAACCAAAATTTCTTTGATTAGACACAATTTAGTCTATAGATAGAGAGATAGATATACATATATATGCATATATACTTGCTGCTTCACATAGAGCATGGGAACTAAGAAAAGAAAGTCCCAGTCAGCCAATGAAACTTTACACAAATAAAACTCATAAAATTTTCCTTGTATACAAATGCAACAGTTGTCAACATCATAGCAAACACATACAGAGTATCACCAAGAAGGAACAATGCCAGAATGTGACATAATGGCTTTAACAGAGCCATGCTCAGATATGATCACTACTTCCAACATGTTTATGTCTAGATGGAAAAGAAAGGGAAAAAAATCTTCTATGTGCTCAGATATAAAGAAGGAATACTGAAGGTTGTCCCAATAAGGAATAAAAAAAGTAAAATGTTTTTCAACCCAACTTGAATTACTAAATTATCTAGAGATGCAGATGAAATAAGGTTAGTATAACATGCAACTTCTTAGTTACATATAGAAATTTCAAATCATATGTTATAAAAATACAATATTAATTTTAAAATTATTTTCAATGCTCATAAATCATCAGTTTTATTCAAACCTTCATATGTAACTTTATCATTATTGTCTTCTTTACCATGAGAATCACTACTTTGTTAAGTTTTACAAAACTTACCATCTTCAAATCCATCTGAGTTTGAAATAAAGCACCTTTTGAATCTGTGAATAATGCCATTGCTGGACATTTTATCCCACATCAACAAGTATCAATCACAGAGCAAAAGTTGTTTTATTGAAAACCTGTCTTACATATGTAAAACCATGATCTCCATTTACATACTGCTTTTAAAACATCTTTAAGTGGCTTTTTCATGGCAATATTGAACACTATATTAAATTTTATTGTCTTTTTTAATAGAGTACATCAAACAACTCCTTTAAGGATTCACGTCAAGCACTGATGGAAGTCACTTGAAGTACTGTGTTGTCTCTAAAGGGTACTTTATTATCCCAAGCACAGTAATTGAGAAAGAATCCACAATAGGAAGACCTTTATTAGGATTTGAATGTAAAATGATTCTCCTTTTCTGAGGAATAATTGCAAAAGTGCAAGATACCTCTTATTCCTAGGTTTATGTGGCAAATTGTCAAGCATGAACAGAACGGTGTGCAGGAAGTATAAAACCCTCAAAGAGGCAACTCTCAATTTCCTGAACATGAAATACCATGACTTTGGCAACAACCAGCAAGCAGAAAACCTCAAAATCTGCTTTATTTTATATAAAATTACAATACACAGGGAACATATCTCATTTACATTCAAAAGATAAGACAGTTTTATAAAACATGTGATAGTAGAACCATCAAAACACCAATGAAAGATCTGTCATATAATAAAGGAAACAATGTTTAACATGATTCTTTTTTTTTTTAACACAAAGAACTTTCAGTACCCATAATGGATGGCTGCTTTCACAAAACCTTTACAAAAACAAACCAACAAAGTAAATCCATAGTTAAATTCCATTGAGTTTGTTTTCAGTCACTGGCAGCTGAGTGCTCCTAACCCACCAAGCAGGCAATATTCAGGTAGATAAATTAGTTTGGCTATACAGTATAAATAAGCATTAATAATTAAACAGAGATATGGAGAGCAGTATACTGTTCTTAGATGACAAAGTTGATTAATCAAATACAATTAATTAAGGAAAAAGAACTTGGAGGCACATTTAAAGAACAAGACAGCATTGCTCTAAGGCTTTAGCCAGGGAGCTTTTTCAAATTCAGCTTCTTGGGTGCCCGTATCTAGAGATTATAACAGTCTGGGAAGCAGGAAAGACATATCAAATTAATAAGCACACCAGGTGACTCTGATGCAAGCTGGTCAAGGGCTTCCTTTTGAGGGGTCCTAGTAGAGAGATGAGAAATAAGAAAGGGCATGCCCAGTAAGATGTCCAGGGGTAGAAGAATAATTGGCAGAAAACCTCAAAATCTGCTTTATTTTATATAAAATTACAATACATAGGGGACATATCTCATTTATAACCAAAAGGAATAAGACAATATTCTTTGTGCCCCTTGTTAAAGAAAGAGAAAAAAGTCTAGTCTCCAATATATTCAAGAAAGAAGGAATGTATCTTTTTGTGTATCTCCATTCTTTTTGAGACAATTATTTTCACCTCTGTTTAATTCATCTCAAATTTTTTTAAAAACAAGCATTTCTCAATCAGGAAGACTATAGCTAAGAGAGGCTGAGAGTCAATGTGACTGGAGGCCTTTAAAAATGGGAGAGATGCCGAACCGTCTCAGATGATTTAGGGGAAGTCTATTTGGAGAACTGCCCAAATAGCTCAGCAACCTTTGGTTGTCCCTGTTACCCCTTCAAATCTATGCTCTTCCTTCAAGTATGACCAGCCATAAAGCCAAAAGTGTTCTCTTGGCTCTGGCCCTAGGAAATTGGCTCTAATACTTATATAAACAGACGGTACCTTGCAATTTCACAGCCTTCTACTAGACTGAACAAAATAACTGCAAATCTTGTTTAATAAACAAACACAAGTACACACTATTTATTGAATTTTGTTTAAAAGGCATAATGTAAACAGATGTGCAGTTTTTCCCCAAGAGGGTGTTAAAAAAATATGTACAATAGAAGATAGTCAAAATAAGAAAATTTTAATCCCCAGCACCACAAAAAAATAAGAAAATTTTACACTTAATATCATACTAAAAAAAAAAAAAGTTTCCAGTCTTATTCCCTATCTTCTCAGCACCACCAGTACAATCATTACCAACACCCCTCTTTCCATGATAAGATAAATCTCTTAATATGCTCCTGCATTTTATAGTTCCTAATGTACTATCATGTAGAGCTCTTATGATTGTCACCAAAAAAAAAAAAAAGTAAGTATACAAGGAAAGTAATTTTATAAAAGAGAGAAAAAATTATTTGCAATCTAATTTTTGAGACTATATTCCAAATCACACTGGATTCACAGCCAATGTTCTAGTCACTTATTCATTCACCAGTATTGTTCTCAATACCTCCTATGCACCAAACATTTTTCTGAGTCCTGGGAATACAATAGTAAAGAATGTAGACAAGTCCTCATTCCTTCTGGAACTTAGATACTAGAGCTGTGTTATCCAATATGATAGCCACAAGCCACTGATGGTATTTAAATTAAAATTGAATCAAACTTAAAATTCAGCTCTTCAGTCTTACTAATGAAGACATATAAAGCAGGGCAAGAGAGAAGAGAGAAGATAATGCCAGGAGTTATATTAGCTAGAAAGAAAGGAAGGGCATCTAGAAAGATGTGGCACTTGAGCTAAGACCTAAAGAAAATAAGGAAGCAAATCAGGAGATCATCTGGAAGAAGGACATTGAGACAGAGGAGAAAACATAGAGAAAACACAAAAGTTCAGTACCTTTATGAAACTGCAGAAAGGTGATGTGCATAGTGAAGAGTGGACACAGACAGGCAGTAATTAAAGTAATAAGGTAAGCAGTAGCCAGATCATAGAGGGCCTTGTGGGACAACTAAGGACTTTGAAATTGGTTTTTAAGAGTGACAGTAAGATAGATGGTTTGGATGAGGAAAGTGACATGATCTGATTTACATGCTTGGAGAAAAGTTCTGGCTTTTTAGTGAACAGGCAGTAGCAGGGCTTAAAAAAGGAACAGAGAGGTGAGTTACGAGGACCAGTGGCCCTCGGGAGAGTTAAAAAGGAACACAGAGGACCAGCTCATTGGATAGGTCCACATGAGAGATGATGGTAAGAAGTGGTCTGAGTTGACATATGTTGAAATAAACCCCACTGGTCTTAGAGAATCATCTGGGAAGAAGAGACACATTCAGGTGTACACAACAGAGCCACTTCCTGAACTTCTCCACACTGCATCACTTGAATTGAAAAGTAGTCTCTTCTGCACTTGTGCCTTGGGTTTGTGTGAGCAGAGTTAATTGTGTTCCACTAGAGAGGGTTTCTCCAAAAGACAGCCACACTTTTCAGAAGGGCATTTTGGTGAAACATAAAGACAAGATAATATGACCCTGAGTTTCAGTAGGTTAAGTCTATTAAAATATTTGCAGATGTGCAGGTTAGTGCAAAGTCATAGAGGCAGGACAGCCCTCAACACTGAAGAAATGTTCTGACATGTTCTAGGAGCACAACATCTGGCATAATAATGACAGTTATTATACAACAAACTAATTCCCACTAGTAGATGGCCCTCTACCTCAAGCAATATTTAAGATGATAAAATTTCAGAGCAACATGGAAATTGCAGTGAAATATTAGAATTAGTAATGGGATTTAACATATCTGTGATCTGACTACCCATTTGATCCATTATGCATACACGTGTACAATGTCATAGAATATTCAAAAGCCATTCTCATATGTTAGTTATCTCCTTTTCTTTGCAATAAACATGGGATGTGGACAAGGGAAGTTTGATTATTGACAATTTTATGAGGGAACCAATGTTTGATGAGGTTGAGACATTTGCCAACTGCCAAAGGACTATATTCAGTTCTTCCAAACTCCAGTACTAAAATATTTCTCAAAATTCAACAAGGTCTTCTTAAAGTATAGAAGACCTGACTTATAAAAACAATCATTAGCTAATAAAATAGACATCATATATTAAATATTACTAAACATCATCAGTATCTTGCACTCTTTTTTTAACTTTTTTTCCATAAAGTATTAATCTCTGGAAGACCATGGAAACATCACACATCCTATACAATAATAGTTTTTAAAAAAACGTTATATAAAAGTAATGGAACAAATGACACATGGCCAACAGCCTGGGACCAGACGTTCAATTAAATTACACAATTACTTTTAAATCAAAGCAAAGATTTGAACAAATCTTTATTTTTGCCGAGGGTAACTGACTTTTCAGAAAGTCTAACTTGGAAAAGAAACCAGATTTGCCTGCACAGTCTAAGATACTAGGATATACTAGCAGCATCTTGAACTGATATAATACTTCAGCTTTATTAGTATCTTTAAATCAAGGTTGTTTGCATCAATTAAGGTTCATTTGGAATTAGTTTTTTCTCTTCTCTGCTTTTTCTCTTTGGAAGACATTATCTTCCAAACATCCACATTTCAATTCAATTCACAAATCACAGATCCTTTATTGGGAAAAGAGAGGTTTCCATGGTGACATGAAATAATTTTTTTCAATTCTTAGTAACTCCTTTAATTTTTTTAATAAACAAAGCATATTGCACACATATGGAATAAAGAAAATATATTTTATTTATGGAAGGAGTTAAAAAAGAAGGTTATATAAAAGGGAAATTTAATAATAAATAAATTGATATTTGCTCTGCAGAACTTCAAAAGGAGTTACTTAAAACTAAAAGCACAGCACATAGTTTACCAAGAAAGATGGCATAAAGGACAAATGAGATACACATAAAGGCCTTTTAATCTGAAGGAGCTGTAATATCTCATTGGGTTCACTCCAAAGCTCAGAACTTCATCATCCAGGTGATACAGACAATGATATAATCATTTAATGCCTGAAAATTTGTCTGTTTTACATTTGACCTTAGGAACACCACACCAAAGAGATTTTTTTAAAAGAGCCCTTCTGTCTTAAAGACTTTTATCACTTTATCAAGAATATAAAAGACTCAACATTTGGGCCTGGGGGTGTAGCTCAGTGATAGATGACTTGCCCAGCATGCAGAAGGCCCTGGGTTCCACCAGCACTGCAGGAAGGAAGGAGGGAGGGAGGAAGAGAAGCAGGAAGGAAGGGGCAACATCTTTATCCTAACTCCTTGGTACTGAAATTAAAATATTCTGGGAGAACTTAAAGCCTTCTGTGTTGTGTGTGTTTTTTTACTCAGAATTTCTAGATATGGAAACAACCACCAGAAAATAAAAACAAGGTCCCTACAATGAACAGTCCCACATTCTCACATCAATTCAACTTGACATGAGTAACCTGGAACCAGATCCCTTCCATCTTGGCATCTATCTCATACCTACTTTGTGAAATAATGAGCACACAAAAGCAGCATCTGAACAGTGTAACAAAATGCAACTATAAAAGTTAGCATTACAATTTATTCTTGAAGATTTGAAGCTAACAAAGATTGTCTAATGTTGAACTACCAAAATGAAGATAAGAATCCAAGTTAAAACTAAAAGACTAAATTCAGACAATAAAATAAATACATGAACCATATCAACAACTAGATTAGAGGAAGCCATGTGCCTTTTATATAAAATATGATTTAACCTAGGACTATTAAGCCAGAAATAACCTCACAGATTGATTTTTTTCCAGATACCTCCTTTAAGGTTGAAAAATATAACCAATGTGATCCTGCAATCTGTACATGTGGGAAAAATAAGAATTCATACCCCATTTGAATCAAATGTATGATATATGATATGTCAAGATCATTGTAATGTTTTGAACAACTAATAAAAAAAATTAAGTTCCAGAGACATGAAGCAACTTGTTCACACCTTTAAATGAACACCAAGTTATTCCTCTAATCAACACTAAAATTCACACACATTCTGTAAACTCGACTCACTATTTTGATCTCTTCAATTGACAAGGTTCACACATTTTTATGAGTAAGGATTCTAACCTGACTTCAAGTTAATTAGTGTTCTAGGTTCTGTATTTCTAATTAAGTAGAAATTAAAAATCAAGTGTGATGAAATGAATGGCCAGCTCCACAATACCTGATCAATTTTAAGTATAACTTCAGAATCTTGATATACTCAATGTCTCTCCCAAAATTATTAACTTATTCCTAAGAAGTAGGAATACAGTAAATTAGATTAGTTATTAGAAAGATATAGCCTCACCTGCCATAATTCAAAAAAACAAGACTTTCTATTTTTTTTTCTAGTGCTTTTTCTTCCAGTGCTGGGATTGAACCCAGGGCCTCATACATGCTAGGCAAATGCTCCACCATTGAGCTACATCCCCATCCCAACATTGTTTATTTTAGAATAGCTCTATACAACTTTAAGACTATATCTACAAACAAGTACCTGTCCATAAGTTTACAGAGAACCAAAAAAAGAAAATGACCAAATATTCTATTATTTGAATGACATGACAAATCTGCTAGTTTTTCCAAATTACTATAGAATTTAGGCAAAAAGTCAACTCTAAAAAAAATGAAAATTAGAATTCCATACCTAAAATTAAACTTGATTTTAAAATAAACAAATATAGCTCAATTAGTGCATATATTTACCAATTGTTGATACACCACAACAACTTTAATAAGATCGTAAACACATAAAATTAAAATGGTGAAAAATGACCACTAGGAGCTAAATGTGCCCAATAAAGTTACTTTTTAAATTACAGATGGACACAATACCTTGATTTTATGTATTTATTTTTATGTGGTGCTGAGGATGGAACCCAGTGCCTCACATGTGCTAAGCAAGCGCTCTACCACTGAGCCACAACCCAAGCCCCTAAAGTTATTTTTATAGACAAAAATTGAGGAAGGAGAGAAGTAAACTAACGTTACTGCTAGCAGGTATTGTGCCAGCACTCTGCCAATGTTCCAGGTTAACGTCTTAATCATCACAACAGCCTATGATTACTACAGCTCCGTGAATACTATTCTCATTTTACAGGTAAGAAACAGAAAGATTAACTAACTTGCCTAAGGTCAAACACTAGCCAATGGCAGAGCTGAGATGGGGAATCTAGATCTGTTTGACTCCTAAACACACAATCTTTTCAGATCATCCGCACAAACAGATCAATCCATGATCCATTTCCTTGAAGAATACTTTAGAACAAACATGATCATAAAGACCACAACCCAATGTTTTTCCTGTTTGCTTTAATGTCCAATAAGCCAGCAGAATCGAGTATTTAAAAGTGGAAAAGAATTTAAATCAGTTCTGTACAGACTCCTGTATACAGACTCCTTAGCTGTTTTCAAAAATTCTGACTCATTTTATCATCACAACACCCCTGTGAGGGAAAGCTGATGGATCAGTCTGTGGGTGGGGTTTCAGCTCTGTGAGCTGCCCACCATCTCACAGCAAATTAGGGGCAGAGCTGGGACCAGAATCTACAAGTGCCAACTCTACCTGTTGCTCTTTCCACCAGAGCCTACTGCCTTAAGACACAAAAGAAAGAATTCTACATTGGAGGCAACACTCTCTCACCTTTTTTCTAATGTGGCAAAAGATGTTGTAATTTATAACTAGGAAATACAGACTTTCTTTGACCTGTTCTTTCTTCCTATTCTATAAGATAAAACTAAGTGAATAAAACAATTCTAAGGTATAATTGTCTTTCATTTCTTTGATTTTCATCATAATGTTAATACTGAAATGACTGAATTTAAATCATAGCATATGTACATAGTCAGTGATTCCATTAAAATATTAAAAATCAAGAGTCTGTAACAGCAAAAGCAATTTTCATTTGTACAATACGTAAAAATAATCTAGTATTAGGTAAGATTGAACTTACATATAGCCATTGGTAGAAAAGATGTGCTAAGATATTCAATAATATCCTTGTGCAGAAATGGAGGAAAGGTAGCTAACGTTGAGATCATCGTGTAGGGCAAAGTACTCAGAATATCATCATTGAGAAAGGGTAGCAAACATGTAGTTGTATAAAATATTGACTGTCCAAGATCTACAAAACAAAATTGAGTAATCAGTCACTGAATATTTTCCCATTAACAAAATATACTAATTTTACATCTTAAGTTTTAATGAGTTGATCTAAATTATAAGCAACTATAGTCTCCTTCCTATCAAGAGTTCTCAAACATACTGCTTGGTATAGTGTGCTATGTGTACAAGAGCTGGTCAATAATTGACTGATGAGTGAATATATTAAGAAATATAAATATCTATTACGTGAGATTTTTCTCAATATCATATAAATCATAAGAAATTCTTAATATTCATATCATCTTTTGATCTCATAAATTCAAAGCACTTTCCAATGTAAAATGATTTCTGAATCCCTCCAGCATTCTTACCTCCATTTATTTTTACACAAGATAACTGAGGCATAGAGATGTTAGATTATTTGCCCACTGAAAGTTTTTAAAAGGTCACTGAGGTAGGAATAGAGATAACACTAGGCTATTTCTGCTCCACCAATCAAAGCTACAATGGTTCTACATCTGGAATACTAGGCAACAAGGTAATTTTTAAGAAAATACCTTTATTTTATTTACTAATTTATTTTAGATGGTGCTGAGGACCGAACCCAGTGTCTCACATGTGCTAGGCAAGCGCTCTCCCACTGAGCTATAACCCCCAAACCCCATGAGGTAATTTTTAACCTCCATACAGTAACAAATCCAACACACACCAAAGAAAGGAAATTATGAGCTAGCACTGTGTGATCCTGTGCAGTTAGTCATCAGTCACCATAGAAGTGCGTGCCTCCTAATAATAACTTATCAAAGTTTTAAAATGGGGATAGTAGCAATACCTACCTCACTTCATTAGGATTGTTAGGAGTTTTAAATGTGATAAATGTAAAGAGGTTAGCATAGCACATAATGTGCAATCCACAAATATGAGTTGTTACTATTAATGTTAACAGTTACTATTATTATTACCTGCACAAGAAGTAAAAATAGTGGACATTAGTAAAACCACAACTATTTAGCGTTAGAATGCATGTAGACCAAATTCCATTATACTAAATGTACATTTTCATATTTCTGGACCTCCCAAAATGTAGGCCATCAGCCAAGATTTGACAAATCATATTTGCATTCATAGAAATAGTAAAGTATTAGATTCTTGCCTGTTTTGCAGATTTACCTCCTTTGTGTCATTTTGATCCTGAATGTCATTTCTGATTATCATTAGAATTACTCTGGCATCTCAGCAGGCCTATCAACTGACAATGGAGAGAACATGGCCACACTGCATACTGGGGAGCCAGGATCAGTCAATCCCTGGGCTCAAATCAATGAAATGGAAAATTCACAGGTGTTTTACTAAGAGTTATCTGAGACTACCATAAAAGATAACGTTAGCTGCTTTCCACTGAGCCCTGTAGCCAAAGTGCAGAACATTAACAACCCAAGGGGTCTGGGAGTTCACCTAGAGTATTTTTTCATACTAGGAAACTGAGACCTGGAGAGAGGAAGCGAATGCCCAAGATCCCCTGAGAATGTTAGCTGAAATGTTACAAAAGCCCTACCTAATGCTTTTCCCTGCAGGGCCCCAGACCCAGAAAGAGGACACAACCTCTACCACAGTGCAGGATTCTCAGTCTCAGTGTGCAAAAGTAGCATCCACAGGAAGCTGGCTAAAATGTCTGGTCTCAGGACCCAACCCTCAATAACTCTTAGGCAAGAACTCCACGTCACAAACTCCTTGGAGATTCTAAGACTCTTCAGACCACGCTCAGGTGTTTCTCTGAACCATTCACTAGAATGAACTAGTGAGTACTTTCCTATTTTTAAGCTCAAATATGCAGAACAAGAAAGTTATAGATAACAATAAAGAGGAAAGTCACAAAACAGTTATAAGAGCAAAAATATAAATCATCTCCCCTGAAATTGTCACAATTCACACATTAATTGCAACTATATGGGTTGCAATTTACAAAATTGAATATCTTTATCTTAATCAAGGGACTTTGAAGATAAAGGGCAGCTTCCCAAACCCATGGACAGGAGCAGACAGGTCCGTGATGAGTTCAGAACTGAATGTCACAAAGGGGAGGCACTGAGGAGCTCACCACCATAGTAAGCTCTGACAGTCTGATGTTCACATTAGCCTCACTAAGATTCTGAGCTGGGAAAGGATTACAATAGAAGCAGCTAAGCTTTCAGACAGCCACAAAAATACACAATAAGTAACTTTACAAACTTCTACATTTTTATATTCACTATAATGCAGAATTATAAATGTAAAAAAACAAATTCAATAATCATTATCTCATCATCTTTGTGAAAGTAGACATTATTTTTTTTAAATCAGGGATACATCATACAAAATAAACCATTAAGGATTCTCTTAGGAGAATTAACTATAACTAAAAGGAAAAATAATTCCCACCACCCACCAGTTTCCCAAGACTCCAGCTTTTCTGTACAGTGAAACTTTGGTTATCATACTTCTAGGGACCAAATTTCAGTATTTTAAGATCTCCACAACTAACATTTTAAGGTACAGTTTTTGCAAAAAATCTCTTTTCTTACTGTATGGTTTTCCATTTGATTCTCCCAAATACATATTAGATAGTTAACAGTAGATATTACTATACTCCCTTTTATAGATTAGAAGAATTTAATAGCAAGCAAGATAATGAAATCCACTGAAGACACAGAAGAAAGAGAGAAGCGATAAGAAAGGAAGCATGCTCTCTGGCTTCTATGCTAAATCACCACTAACACTCTATACTGTAACATTTTACAACATTTTGTAATAATTATTTGAAGTTCTTAGTAAATTTGGAAGTTCTTAGAAAGTTCATTTTATCTAACCCCCTGACTTTTGAGTCAGGAAAAATGGGTCTCAGAAAGAGTTTGTGATTTGTCCCCAAAACTCACAAAATCAATCAGTGGTTAGAGTCTGCTCTTCAAAGCAAGTTTTAAAATCTTAGCTCCCCAATCGTGATTTCAATGAGTCCTCACTGAGTCCTCCCTTGATAAAGTAATCAAAGGAGAAGAGAGAGCCTCCCGAGAGTCTTCCTTCTGTCTCCAGCCCCTCTGCCCCCAACACAGGCCTGCTGGGTAACATCCCTGAGCACCACAACAGTGGAAAAGGATAGGATGGGAAAACACCATAATTAAGCTTCATTGTAAGAAAGGCTGCAGCCCACACAAAGCCCTTTCAAGCAATTTACATCAACAACAAAATCTCCATGCCCCGTGCTCAGCAACATACATATTCATGAACATACATGTACATTTCCAAAGGTTTCAATTAAATGCTCACCGTGTTGGCCATGCTGTAGTAAAGGAACTAGATCCAGGAGAGTCACCAAAGTCACGTAGAGGCCTTGATAGTCCAAAGAAGGGTAGTCTGACAACTGAGCATCACGACTTTGCGGGCCGCGTTCTGAAGGAGCATCTCGCAGGACGCTGTAAAGGAGGGAGCGAGTAACAGTAGGGTTGATGGAACTGACCTGCGGTCTTAGAGATGGGGTGAGTGGGAATGGCACAGGAAAAAGACACATGGTCATGGGCACTGTCAAATTGGAGGCATCTTGGTTTTCCTTCTTCCCTGTGCGGGACAAAATGCTGTTGGGGGGACAAAGAAAAAAAAGAGACAACAAAGACACAAAGAACAGCACATTACATTGAAATGACACTCTAAAACAAATAATAAAACACCAGATACATCCCACATAAGATGCAATTGCCACACCAGCAGGATCTACAAATCTAGTACTGGTCACATAGCTTTGTTCAGAGGTATCAATAACACAGGTTTACTTTGTGGAAATTTCATTGCATCTCATGTGTTATCTGGTTAGTAAGGAGCAAAAATATAAAAATGCATGTTTCAGTGCCAAACCCATGTTTTACAGTTTGTCAATTTGGTGAAGGAGAGGTTTCCTGGAAGCAAAAGCAATGGCTTGGTCTAATTAGGAAGGGCTCTTATTCCTAATTACAAGGAGCTTTCAAAGAAAAGAAGTTTTCAGCAAGACCATCTGAACCAAGCAAACAGAAACTTGCAAAACATAGGTATGGCACTTGCAGAAACATGTTTTAGCAAAGAATAAACATGTGTGTTTATTAAGAAAGTCTTAAAAATCACATGTTTATTGCACCAAAATAATGTCTATATGTATATTATGATACTGTTTCATGACATTCTGTCAGTATCATTTGAGATAATGAAGTTTAAACAGGCATATGAATTTAGAAATAATACATATTTCTAAAATGTTAGCTAAACTACATTGGAAAAGCTATAAAATAATATATAGTAGATGGTCCATAGCATATGTTTGTGAACTAATGATAATGGTTATTTATGTGTGTGTGTGTGTGTTAATTTTGTGTGTTAGGGAGGAAATAATTTATTTTTATGAATACAAACACTGGCTTATTAAGTAATTACCTTCAAAATTCTAAAGACTAAGCAAGCAGTATCTGTCACATAGCTGCCCAACATACAATAAGATCTCATATGTTACTACTGCTACTTACGTTATTATTCAACAAAACTCTAAAAACTAAAGGAAAGATAATTTAGAAAGTTAAAAAAAGTTTAATGGGAATAAAAATAACTTCTAAAAATGGTTTTTCTTTTAGCCTTAATTTAAAATAAAAATGTTTTAGTTAAAGCAGAAAAGTTGTTGATTTAAAAAAAAAAAAAAGAAATTACTGCTTAGCCAAATATTTACGTTTTTAAAACTAGATTATACTATTTATCATTAAAGATAATATCTACACATTATAATAATGTCTGCAGCACTTACAATGTGCTTTTCACTTATGCTTGTCCACTTACATTAGTCAAAACAGATAACAATTTATAAATGTTTCATTACATAAAATGACCTTATTTTACATTTATTCTATGCACATTAAACATGGCTAAGTTTTTAGTTAGATATCACATCTATAGTTTTACAGTGATGTGAGGAATTGGTTAGTGTCAAGCATGCTTGTTATGTCACATTTACATTAATTTTTATTTATTCTTAGCACAAAAAAAGTTATAATGTAAAAAAAATGACTACATGCTTTTTAATTTCTATGTGCCTAATTTACCTCGATTTCCTTTGTCTTCTGTTACCCAATGTCCAAGGAAAAACAATTGATAATAAAAATAATTTCAGAATAGTTATGTAATACTTCTTAACAATAAATAACTTAAAATTTGGTGTAATTTTTGGTTTTGGCTTTTAAAGGAATTTAATCTAGCTTGTTCATGTGTGATGTATTTGACTTCGTAAGCTTATACTTTACAATAGGATAATATCAACATTCCAGTTACCACTGCCTGCCTATACCTATTATAAATGCCATCAGATTTTCCATCAGACTTCATACTTTTGTCATAGAACTCAAGTACTCCTAAGAGTGCCACCTTTAAGTGTCATATTCTTGACAAGCCCAGTCACCAAAAAATTTGTTTAAATCCTGTAGTAGTCTATCCCACTGAAAATTCCTTTTGAATCACAATAGATATAAGTCAGTTTATTATTTCTCAAACTTTAACCCTGAATTGGCCAACCATCAGCCTCTTTTCAAAATTATAAGATATGGATTTTACAAAAGTGATATAACAAGAGCAGCAACATCTTGCCTTTCAGAATAAAAATAGCTGAATATCATGAACTAATGATATTTAAACCTCTTTCTGAATTAATTTCAGTGCTCTTATAAAAATTCTCCTTGGTGGGGGAAATATAACACATTTTTTTCAAACAGACCTTACTATTTTTCCAAAGTTTGAAATAATTTATCAAGCATTCATCAAATCAAATTTGGAGGCTCTACTTTGATATTTTTCCCTTCCTGTATATGTGGGGTTCCCAAATGATAGCAACAACAGTGTCCTACATGCAGGGAGGGAAGAATGTCAGCACTGAAACAGTAAAGCTCTCACTCACTGCTTCTGAGTTTAATAAGTAGGTGAGGTTGAGAAAAATGGCGGAAATGAGTTATCCATGAAACCAGTTTTAAATTACATTCATGTCTCAATGTACGGAAATGTTTTCATTTGTGGAAAAACTTAAGAAGGGCTCATGAATAAATGTACAATGCATTGTGATTTTATGATGTTTTGTGAAGTTTATTCAGAGAAAAAAAAAAACTTATTTCCCCAACCAAATTGTCTACCTTGGGAAAGATCAAGCCATCTTCCCCATCTGAAATTCTTTCCCGGAGGCCTATACACCCAACCAAACAGAATATTAAGATGCCCTGCTCAGAAGAGTTTGACCCAGTAGTTGACTTTTCACCTTCCCTTTTCCCTCCTGAGGTCCCCTTCTCAAGCCGGCTTCCATGATCAAGAAAAAGCAAGAGAAGAGGGCTTCTGCAGGGGTGGGGGAAGAGGAGAAATCACCCTGAGGTATTTATAGCAACGAAAGTTATATGGCAAATAAATTTTCTACACAATTGTGAATTTTGACATTTGAATTGTGTCTATGCTCTAAACAGAATTTACTTGATTATGCCATGATACATAGATACATAGATATATTCTTCATAGGCAATTATAAATTACTATTCAATGAAATTATTGGGCTGACAATAGAATCTCATTTAAAAACATATTTGAAATTTTCTAAAGAGTTAGCAGTAAGTATCTTTCCCCAAATGTAAAGATTTTTTTTTTAAAGATTTACATGCTAACAGCTTGAACAGCACTAGAAGAGAGAGCTGAGAAAAGGAATTCCAAAAGAATGTTTGCAATAGAAGATCGGGATCCTTTAACATTCTGCCAGGTAAAAAGCAGGATCTTTAAAGACCTTAGATGCTTAAAATATGACCACAGAATGCTTCTAATATAAAATAAGTAGAATCCTCTACAGTAGTAAGGGGATAAAACTAAATGATTTTTATAGTTGCCTCTGATAAAAGCAAACAAAAAAACTAAACTCTCAAGTTGTTTGTAAACTATGTGCCTCTGCCAGAATTAGGTCCCTGCTAAATGAAAAGGAGCACAACTCGGCACTCAGATGTAATTTTACCCAGGACCTCAGTTCACTACTAGACTCAGTTAATGCCCTAGAAGTTTTCTGCACTGGATGAAATTTGATCAAAGTCAATTCAATTCAACAAATGTTTACTAATCCCTTTCTAAGGGCCAAACACCACTCTAGGCACAATGGCTAGCAAGCCCAATACTACACAGGACTCCCTTTCACGATTAAAGTTTAGGAAACCTCCAGGAAGGATCAGTGGAAGGTAGAAATAAAGCATGTGAGAACCAAAACACTATCCACATCGCCTCAGATACAACTGTTCAACTTCGGAAAAGACAGCAAAGCTTTGTGATAAGCACTCCCTTTCTTCCCTTATCTCAAAGACAGCCAAAATTATTCTATGACTCAACTAGGCATTCCCAAAAGCCAAACCAAGTTATTACTAAAAGAAGTGTCCCACCACTATAATTAAATAGTGGCACTAAGAAGAAGCAGTACAGCCAAACTGTTGAGAGTAGGGGCTATCAAACTGCTGAGAGTAGGATCACCAATGTCAAATCCTGGTTCTAATACAAATTAGATAAATAACCTTGAGAAACTTATCTAACCACTCTGTACCTTAGTTTCATTATCTATAAAATAGGTATAATAATTCACTTATTTCATTATGAAGGATTAAATAGGACAATACATTTAAAGTGCTTAGAATAATGATTAATACATACAATTTTATTATAACACAATATTGCTATGATGATAGTTATTGCTATTATTACCATTAGGAGTAGTTACTGTAACTACCTCCCTTTGAAAATGGACTCATTTCAATTGCACAGAATCTCCACAAGCCACTTCAACCAGCTTAACCATTAAAATGCTACCACCCATGATCATATTCCAATGACTGACTGCTCAAGAAAATGGAATCTCATGTCTTGTAAACATGACTTCAGTACCCTAAATTTCTTAATTTTTTGGCACAGTTACTAAGACCTAAGCAGCAAACTCTGAAGTGCTAACTAGGATGTCACAGCTTCTTTGCAAATGGAATTCACAATGCTTCCTACTGCAAAGTGTCTCTTACTTTGAGACTTTCTGAACTTGTGATAAAAGAAAAGTGTTTCCCATTGAGAACCCCAACCTCAAAAACAAAAAGGAGAATTCAAAAGAATAGAATCAGATACCTTGATTCTTAAATTTATCTGATTATTGCTATAAGAACAGGGCTAATTATATATTGCAATTTGAAAAGAAGGGAAATATCCTATAACAGGGTCCTAAACTTACTATGCAAATCTGGCATCTATGCATCAATGAACAGAATCCCTCCAATCTAGAACAGCAATACTAAGGGTTCTAAAGATGAAAAGATCCTCCAAAGAAAAAGGAGAGCTGAGAGACAGGAGCTGCAGAAGACTAGTGACCAACCTGCTGGCATACAGCTTCTTTTATACAACCTGCCCACAGCAAAGTCACAGAGCACTAGAAACTCCAGTGCCATTACAATCATTCCAATTTATGTTCTTCTCCAAATAATTTAGAAAACATCTGCTGTGTTATAGCTAGAAGAGACAAGATAGTAGCAAATCAAATTATGTGTTTTGAAAATCCGACTTGAAGGAGAAGAACATGGTGATGGAAAAGACCAAGCCATGAAATTTAATTGGGAAGTGGGGTATTCTGACTTCTTTGCAGTCATTTCCCCAAAATAATTGAGGCTTTGCTTGAAAAATCACCTTTGTTCACTTGTTCTAATGAGAAGTGTAAAGTCAAAAGGGTCCTTGGGTTCAACCTTGTAGTAAAAGTAGACAGTACAACAAAAGCTCCTGTTTTGTTTCCTTGAACTCCACAGAATTTCTGTTATCAATAGTAAAACATGTTAAACACTTGAAGTGTTACGCAGGTTAAAAAATAACTATTATTACCATATATTAGGTAATATTGGGAAGTAGGAAACACTAGTGATAAGACCAAAAGATTGATTTTAAGCAATATAAGCTTTCCTTTTAATCCCACACTGACTTAGTGCCAAAGACAGAACTTTTACCACTTATCTATCACTTGACAAGTCATTCAACTGAGAAAAAGCAGGCAACAGCCATGCAATCCATTTTTCCAATTAGGCCTGGGATCTGATCTGCTATATACACCCAGAGAACTGGTGTCCAGACTCTTCTGGCAGAGCACTAGAAAATTTAATGTCCTTCAAAACTCTCACTTTAATAGAAATCTAGGTCCCAATACATTCAGCAGTACTACCTAATAATTCTCTCAAAGTGGAGGCTATTTTAAGGCTTACCTTAACAAGGTCTGAGAAAAGTATTTCAAGGTGTTTGCAATATCTGTTCCTGATGGTACAGGATAAATGTTGTGAAGAACCCGGTTATGATATTCCTGCAAGTACCGGATCTTGGAAGCAACTAGATAAAAGCAAAAAAAAGAAAAAGAAGAAGAAGAAGAATCATCTTGTAATATGTATTAGACATAGTTATTAATTTAATCAGTATTTTACAGAACATATTTGTGAATTTTTACTGAAATTCCATGCTAGAACAATTACAAAAGTCTTTTAATTTCTTATTGTATTCAGCACACAAATTATTTTAGTTACCTAATTTAATATGCTATTCACAAATTCCATTCCTTTATTTAATCACTAAGAAAAGCAATACTACAAGCAGCTAATTACCACCAAATTAGTTATTATTAGAAAAATAATAATAGATATAAATCTCTGTCACCAGAGAGTTATATTTAATATTGCTTAACTAAAATTGAAGGGAAAAACTTGAAGATCTTTCAACTACACTTCAAAAATCCTTTTTAAAAAATAGGGAATCCATTGCATAATAGCATCAATTAAAATCAGACTTTTTAATTCAATAAGTGACCATGAAAGCATGTTTAGTTAATGCCAAGAGTAGATCTGTTTGGTGAGTATTAAGTAAGAATATAATGATTGTGTAGCAATAAAGATATAAAAGGTAAATGTCATACTTTTCTTCCAAAGAATTTCATAAATTAGGAAACTTCCTAATTGCTTTCTGAGCTTGGCTGCCCAGATCTTCTCAAGATTCAGGAGGGACTAAATAGGTATTTGGGGGTTTTTTTGGTTTTTTTTTTTACCCTCCTAGACCTACCTGGAGTCACCAGCATTGTCCACATTCCTGACCTGACCTTTGACCTGGCAGTAGTGAATGGCCCAGTTCTAGTCATTCCTCTTTGCAAATCCCAAGGAGCCATGATGATCAACGTCTCTCTGGTCTCCTCTTCCACAGAGTTCTCAATACTGTCCATTTGTCCTTTCAATCTTTAAGGCTACCAAAGGAGCCTTTTAGGTGGTATGGCTCACTGTCAGCGGTTAACAGAAGATATATCAAGTCCTGGAGAAGCAAGGCCTCGCTGTTCCCAATAGCCCATGGAAATAAGCTGGATACATTCTAACTGAAATGCTGTCTTAAGCAACTTAAAGAAAGTCAAAATGCTTTTGATAGGCATGGGGTGTAGAATCACAGAACAATAAAATATCAGAACTGGGAGGTGCTCAGAGGCCATTTCCCATAACCACTTCATTTTAAAGATGGGGAAATGAGACACACAAGGGAGAAATGGCAGAGCTAGACTATCTTTTAACTTCCTGATTCCCAATCCAGTGCTCTTTCCACTATGATACTATCTAGAATACAAATGTGAAATGAAGTCAACATGTACAGTCAATGTTCATTTGCATGACACCAAAGCAATCTTCAGACATTATTAGGTTAATCATTGAACCTACAATCTACATACACCATTTATCAGATTTGTTTTTCTCCCTTCTACTTCCTGAACTATTTCTATAATATGGTTAGCATTCTCCCAGAGAAATGTTGAAACTGCAGACAATAATATTTTCAGTTTGTATAGCGCATCAGCTCCAAAGAAAGCAACACATTTATGTCCATCTTAATTAACTCCATGAATGTTTGGTTGTAAACAACTTATTTTCCTGAGGTAAGGTACAAATAGGTGATACTTGAAAATATATCAATTACATAATCTGCAAACCATCTTCTTCTCAGTATTTTTAATCTGCTGTTCATCATGGTTTTTAAAAATCACAGTACAAGAAACCCCTGTTAATACACAGTTCTAAATCCCAAGTATCCGAGATGTACGCTAGGCCAGCCTACGCTCTCCTCTCGCCCACTATCACAATAATGCTTTGTTACTGCAGCTTTTCTCAAGTCTTAATACTTAGCAGGCTTCTGTAGAATGTGTCAGGTATACCATAATTGTTCCACCACCTAAAAAAGGAGTTGATAGTGTGGACAATGAGCTCTAAAGAAAAGAAAAGTTGCAGATCCCCCAACTCAATGGTTGCTCATAATTCAAGCTACAACTGTCACCCTACAACAAATACAAAACTCAAAAATGTTTGTGAAATGAGTGTTCTTTTTATATCATTTTGTGAAAATGCAGTAATAGCTCCTTTCAATAGGTATCTAAACATGCATGAGAAAGCAAACTAGAGGCCCTGTCTTCTTTGAGATCTTTTAACATCTTACAAACTCACATGGTATTATCTTTTTTCACTTACCTGTTAATTTTTCTATACCAGATTATAAAATTTCTTGAAGGCAGCAACTATATCTTACTCAGGCTTGGAACCCAAGCCTAACACACTGTCTGTCATTTAGTAGGTACTCAATATATTCACAGGATTCATTGACACTTTTATAAAGCACTTATCACTTAGATATATACATATATATATATATGTGTGTGTGTGTGTGTGTGTGTGTGTGTGTGTGCAGTGTGTATATACATATATATCCAGTTTATGTACATACGTAAACTGGATCTTTAACCTTAATGCTAGACACCTATTAGGTACTCATTAAATTACTGATGAATTAAGGTAGGGGGGAAAAGGAAGAAAGAAGAGGGGAGAGAAAGAACAAAATAGTAATTACAAAAGACAGCTTATAGAACAAGCTGGGGAAAATGTTCCAGGTAATTTGTGTAGTGGTGAATGCAGTCAGAGATTTCATCTTCATGTCTCCAACTATTTGAGAACATCCAGAAAGGTCCTTGGCAAACAGTAACTTGTAATTGTGCTGAGGATGTCAGTAAAACTCATTTGCATTTTAACAGGGCACACAAAAGATTGTCAGTTGTTTGGTTAATAAGGCCTTGTGCACACCCAGCAGCCTCCTTGGAGCGCAGAGTTCTTGTTCTTCGCTCACGTGTACACTGACTACTGCTGCTAGCTAAGCAGGATAGGTAGATGCAAATGATCTCCAACCTCAACTGCTTCTAAGGCTACATCTCTCTAATAGCCTTCTATGCTCTTCAGTTATGATTACATACTCTTCAGGACTGCCCAGGGCTGCCCCTTTTCTTACGCTTTAAGAAGCCATCTGCTATGGGCTGAATTATGTTCCTTGGAAATTCATATGCTGAAACCCTAACCTCAAAATGTGACTGCATTTGGAGATAAGGCCTTTAAAGAAGTAACTAAGTTAAAATGAAGCCGAAACGGCGGTGTGCCCTAATTCAGTCTGCCTGGTGTTCTTGTAAGAAATGATTAGGACACACAGGAGGCACAGAGGAAAGGCCAAGTGAGGATAAGAAGAAGGCGACTATCTGCAGGCCAAGGAGAGGGGCCTCAGGAGAAATGAAACCTGCCAACACCTTGATCTTGGATTGCAAGCCTCCAGAACAGTGAGAGAATAAATTTCAATTTAAATGATATTTTTATGGCAGCAAGAGCAAACTAATTCACCATCACAGAGGAAATCCTATAAGAGTATGAACTCTGAAATCAAACAGTTCTGAATTTAGACCTTGGCTCTATCTCCACTTAACCTCAGTTTCCTCCTCTGTAAAATGGGGATATTCATATCAACCTAATAGGGCTATGGTGAATAGTAAATCAGTAACTGTGCAAATTACTTAGCATGGCATATAGTAATACCTGACATATAGAAGGAGTCGAAGACCTACTTACATCTCCTTTCCTTGTCCAATCAAACACCAGTCCATCAGCTCTCCATGAGCTCTCCATCCATCAGCCGTCCCTTCTACAATATAAATCTCTCACACTTTACTAAATCATTGCCATCAGCATTTAAACAAACTATAGAATGTCCTGTATCAAAGGTAAAAACAAAAGAAACCCCTCCCCTTTCCTTCGCATTCCCCCCAGCTACTGGAGTCTGCCTTCAGAGATTCTGAAGAGTAGAACCCACCTTCCTGTCTCTTCTTCACTTCCTCTCCTTTCCCCTATTCTCTCCAGTCTGGCTCATGCTTCTACCACTGCACTGAGTCTGCTTTCCCAGTAATCATCTAGTGCCTCCAGATTCCCAAACCAGCGGGTCCTACCTAGTCCTCCATCACAGGACTAGACCTTGAAAGGTCTAGTAGCGCATGCCACAGTCAGTCCTCCTCCTCAACACATCTCCCCTTGGCTTCCCTGACATCACATTCCTGGGCTTCCTCCCCTGGAACACATCCCTAATGCGTCCCTCTCAAAGTGCTTTGCTACCTCCTCTTCTACTTGAAGTAGAAGAATTCATCAGAATTCAGAATTCATCAGGACTCAACCCTACCCTCTCTGCTCTTCTCTCTGAATGTCCTTTCTGTGACCAATCTTTCCACTCAGTACTACCTATGGGCCAAATACTCTTTATAAATAGTAATAATAATGATAATCATAATAATAAGTACATAACATATGTGTACGTATATACATATATACATACATATATATACATCCCATATGCACAGACCTTTTAAATAATAGGCGTCATGGACTCAGTTTCTCTACCTGGTGATCTTACAGATAGATATCTCAAAGTAAACATGTCCACCACTGAATTCTCTCCTCCCCCAAAAAGAAACCATCTCCATCCTCTGATAATCTACAAGTCACTACTCACACAAAGTGTTCTGGAAAATCTCTGTTCCCCACAGAACACAATCCATCACTAAGTCCCAGCCACACTATCCCAAAATACACCTCCAACTGTCTTCTGTTCTTCATCTTTCACTTGGCACCACCACCTGACCATGCCCCAAGCCTCCAAACTCATCTTTTGGATTTTCTCGTGCCTCTCTTCAGTTTCTCCTTAGAACAGCCACAGAGATCTTTTAAATTATAAATGTTTCACATAACTTTCTGCTTAAAATCCTTCAATGGCTGCCTGCTGCCCTCAGGACAAAATCCAAAACCCTTCCTGTATCATACAAGGTTCCAGGCCCTCATCCAATCTGGTGTTGCGTCTCAAGAGCCAGACTCAGTGGCTCTTGCCCAGTTTTTGTTTTTGTTTTTGTTTTTTTAATACACATAATTGTTCATTACCTGAAAACCTGATGCATGCTCTCGTCTCTAGAGTGCTGTCCCTCCACATTTTGCCTGACTATACTTGCTGCTTCCTCAGGGAGATCTTTGTTGACCTCCTGTCTGACCTGATACCCAGATCCCCAGCCCCTTTTATCTCTGATATAAACACCCTACTTGGTTTTTTTTGTTCTTTGCTTTTTGTCTTTGCAGTAGTTAGCACAATTTGTAATTGTACATTTACTTGGGTGAGATTCATAATCTCTTTCAAGAGGACAGAGAGAAGCCAGGTGCAGTGGTAGACACCTGTAACCCCAGCAGCTTGGGAGGCTAAAGCAGGAGTTCAAAGCCAGCCTCTGCTCCTTAGTAAGACCATAAGCAACTCAGTGAGAAAGGAGCTGGGGATGTGGCTCGGTAGTTAAACGCCCCTGAGTTCAAAACCTGCTTGGTGCAAAAGAAAAAGACAAAGAGGTCCAAGAACCATGTTTCTTGCTCACTACTGTGGATCCCCAGGGCCTAGCAAGGACTGAGTTCCTCATAAAGATGAAAGAAAAATAGGCAGAGAGGGAGAGTGGCTTTTTACAGCAATTAAAACTTTATGTTTTTTTATAGTTAAGAAAGCTAACTGTTCAAGCTGTGATGAAAATGAAGAAAAAACAAAAGGAGTCTGAGAAGTGATTATTTTCATCCATCACCAAGAAACTGATGATTTTTTTATGTGCACATAAAATTCTAATGTCCACTCTCAGCTACTTTAGCCCCATTATATCCCCACCATTTTCTTGGAAGCTTTGCTACTTTTTCTGAGGAAACAGTCACAAAACCAAGATTCAGAGATTAAGTTACTTTGAATCTTTTTTCTTTAAATCTTAAACATTTCCTTATGTCTCTAAGTATGCTTAAAAGTGATCCATTCTTTTTTTTTTAAGTTTTATCTATCCTCATTATCATCAAAGCAAAAAAAAAATTCAGGTAAGCACAATGAAGAAAATAAAAATCACCTAAAGGTTCACTACTCAGGGACAAACCATAATTAACATTTTCTCTGCATAACTATATACTTATAAAAATGGATTAAATTGTATATAGTTTCAGAATCTGTTTTTCTTAATTTATACATGAAATTCCTTTCTACATTATTTTATCGCCTTTTAATTTCTTCTTGAAGTGAATCACAATTTATTTCATCAATTATTTATGAGACTTGAGGTTATTTTTCACTGTTCTATTCAATGCTGGAAAGAATATATTTTCAAAAATATGCACATATCTTTAGTTATTTTCTTTTTTTATACCTTTACTATATTTATTTATTTTTATTTGGTCCTGAAGATCAAACCCAGTCCCTCACATGTGCCTGTCAAGTGTTCTTCCACTGAACTACAACTCCAGCCCTCTTTATTTTCTTAGAATAAATTTTCAATCATGAAATCACTGAGTCAAGTAGAAAATATCCATTTTCAAACTTTTGGGAAAAATTGAGAAACTGCCCATCAAAAAAACAGTACCTAGTTACCTTCCAGCAGAGTATATCTCATTGAGCATGAATAATAACATATATTGAGTATCCATTATGTACAAGGTGCTCTATAAACATTATTTTTAATTCTCACAATAACTTTTCCATGTGGTATTATCATTCCAATTTAAAGCTGAATAAACCAAAGCTCAAAAACAGTAAGTGATGTGCCCTAAGTAAGTGGTAGAACTGATAGTTTAACTGGCTGTGGGCCATGCTTTTCTACTGGACCACATTCTCTATTTTTATTCATTTAATAATATTCAATTAGAAATACTTCCCTTATTGTATTGTTTGACATTTAGGTTGTTTTCAATATCTCTTTAAATAACATTGTAGTCAAGAGATAAACTATTAGACTAAATTTCTATTTGTTTTTTTTTTTTTGATACAAATTAGTTGTTCGATTTGTTTTTTTTTTTTTTACATAGTCTAAAAACTAGTTTATTTCCTTGAAATTAGCCCTCTCCATGAAATCAAATCATTTTCCATTCTTCAAGGTCCATCTTAAGAGTCACATCATTCATGAAGCCTCTAATTGACTCCAGGCATCACTGATATCTCCCTTTTCTGAATCCAGGGCACTACTGACCTGCCTCCTTTGTTACTTCATTGTATACATATTTCACTGAGTATAAGCTATGTTGGATGGTTCCAGATTAGTTTCATGTTTGCAAATCCAGGTTCCTTGACATTTTAAGACCCTTAAAGACAGAACTGTCTTATACTTCATATGTAATTCCCTTTGAATGTGTCACAATTCTAGGCACATAGCAGATGGCCAGCAGTACCACAGTGGTTGGAATAGGTTGAAAGTTTAAATGTAAACTAACTTATGGTCTATGGATACTTTCTAAAAAATTATTTAAAATTATAACAGCATTTACACAAATAACTTCTGTTAAAATATACCTTATTTCCTTCTATCTCTCATTCCAACATAACTCCAGAATAATCACTTCTCTTGATACATATTCGAAAGCTGTTTATAGGTGCTTTAGTATCATTTGTGGTAGACATTTTTTTCTTCAGATTGTCCATTGTGATTCCACTTTTCATTACTTGGACCCTACCAGGCTAGGCATGTGTCCTAGAGTTATCCTGCTGCCCTGCAGAGAGCCCTGGATAGAGGAGTTCTCACCTATAGCTATGTGTGACCTCAGGCAAACCATTTAATATCTCAGAGCCTCGGGGGTTCTTATTTATTTTGTTCTGTTCTGGTTTTGCCAACTGAGAAATTAAAATAGTACTTCCCCACGTTTTTTGCAAATGTTGGATATTAATGTAGATTTGATAATATATGTTCTAATTCCATCTTACTTTTTATTGATTTCTTCTAGCACTATATGAAGCCTAAGATTCAAAGGATTTGCTGTCATTGTTCCTTTTTAGGGCATCTTCTTTTCAATCTAACCTTTCCATTTAGAAATGACAATATAAACAAAAAGTATTTGGACATATTTCTCAAATATGGATTGCCATAACAATTCATCATAATCACTCAAGTAAACAATTTTGCCTGATACCTTTTTAACTTCTTGTTTTGATGAGAGGATCAGCAGGAAATTGGACCTCCTCCATAAGCACCACAGCACATCAGTCTTTATCCACTATGCTTGTGTCTCCCCTGCCTAATAGATTCTACTTATTAGTCCTACTGATTCTATCTAAATATCATCTCTAGGATCTACTCTTTTTCTCCATCCAACTAACATCACCTTAATTCAAGTTCAAACAACCTCTTGCCTAGATTAATTGCTGTGATAACCAGACTTATTCCCTTTTGATTCTTTTTCCACATGACATCCAGAGTGACCTTTCTAAAATTCATATTGTGTTTATCTGCTGTTTGTTGGAGTCCAAACAATTATCTTAGCATATGACACCCAACAAAAATGGCTCCCTACTTAACTGTCAAGCTTCATCTTCTGTTCTTTTTCATGTGTACCAGGTTTCAGACACACTAACTTGCAAAAGTTCCAACTCACAATGTTCCTACTCATCCATAGTTTTGTGCACACTCTCTACTATAGGAATAAAATTTATACTTCTCTGCTTGACCAACTCCTAAAAATTCTTCAAAGCTCAACTACAACTACTTCCCTGACACAAGCTACATTAGATGTACTTCCTTAGCACCTAGAGTTTCCCTCTGTCATGTCACTTACTGCATAACCATTAACTCAATGGCTGTCTCCTCCACTGTGCTATCAGAAATGTCTCCTTTAGCCCGGCATGGTGGTGCATGCCTGTAATCCCAGTGGCTTGGGAGGCTGAGGCACAAGGATCTCAAGTTCAAAGCCAATCTCAGCAACTTAGCAAGGCCCTAAGCAACTTAGTGAGACCCTGTCTCAAAATAAAAAATAAAATAAAAAGGGCTGGGGATATCACTCAGCCATTAAGTATCCCTGGATTCAATCCCAGGTAGAGGAGGAGGAGGAGGAGGAGAAAAAGAAGAAGGAAGAAGGAGGAAGAGGAGGAGGAGGAGGAGGAGGAGGAGGAAGAAGAAATATATCCTTTATCTTTGCATAGTTAGCATTTAATAAGTGTTTGTTTCTAAATAAATGTTTGTTGAATATGTCATATTACTCAACGTAACAAAATAGCTTAGAATTTTATATTCCTTTCATGGACTAATTTTGGATCATGGGTATGATGCTAACTTTTCTCTAATTCTTAGTACTTATAGAAACAACAATTTGTATCACAGAACCAATTATGTCACTTTCTGCCCAAACCCCCCAATTCCACCACTATCCATTTTGGGGCATGGAGCTGATCTGGCTGAAAGCTGACTGGAAGGATGAGATGATATAATATCTGCAAGGATGGAGTGAGAGCAGAGAATATCTATTCCAAGAGGCAGCAGAACAAACAGAAAGCCCACTCTAAGGACCCAGGTGTGCGAAACCAAGCGTGGCCTTCATATCCTAGGAGGATATGGGCCCATTCCCAACCTGACCAGCTCAGACAGTAGTCGGAGCAGAGGCATTCTTCATTCTCAGAGTCAGTCGGTCAGTCTTGACAAGGTTTCAGCTATGTGCCTCCAAGCATAAGTGACACACCCTTCATAGAGGCATATCACTGGGAAGGATCTTTTGGGAAATAAACTTAGGAGAAGAAGTGGAAAAAACACAAGGCTTGGTGCAGCTAAAACAGGCACTACTCTATTTAGAATGAGTTAGGCTCCCTTCCTGTGTCAGATAAGAACTGGAAGGCGCCCATCACTCAGCTTCAGTGGTAACTATCTGTCCCCTTCCATTTTTCCTCCGTTTTTTTGTTTGAGTATTTAAGAAAAACCCTATTCATCATATTATTCCACTTATAAATACTCTAGTATAATCTTTGACTAATAAAGATGCTTATAATCATAGTACTGTTTTCACATCCAACAAAATTAACAAATATATCCCTTAATATCAGAATCCAAACAAGATTTGTGAAGGGTATTTTCCAAATTCCACATGCACCCCTTGAACATACCCTTCCAGATTCGTAGGCATAACCCCCACTCACCAGACTCCTAAGGAAGACCATGAGAACACAGAGAGTACAGGCCATGTAGTTTCTGTATTTCCATTTCCAGCCCCACAGTCCAGCATCTCCAAGCCTTTCATCATTTACTTCACTATACATCTGTAACTTAATGCAGCTTCTACAAGAGTCATATCAACTGCCAAGCAGAGTGGTGCACGCCTGTAATCCCAGCAGCTCAGGAAGCTGAGGCAGGAGGATCATGAGTTCAAAGCCAGCAAAACTGAGGCACTAAGCAACTCAGTAAGATCCTGTCTCTAAATAAAGTACAAAATAGGGCTGAGGATGTGGCTCAGTGGTCGAGTGGCCCTGAGTTCAATCCCCAGTATCAAAAAACAAAAGTCATGTTGGTCCCCCTACCTAATCCTTCCCCAACAATTACAACTTTTCACACACAAAGAGAAAAGTCCATTTTACACATGAAAAAATGGTGGCACCAAGAGTCTAAGTCATATAGAAAATAAAAGTCACAACCAAAACTAAAACCCAGGTTTCACTTGAATTTGGATAAATTTCTACTTACTTACTATGAGAATGTGGATAAAGTAAGGAGTTTATCTCAGCCTCAATTTCCTAATCCATAAAATAAAGGTAAGGATATCTATCTCACTGGCTTGCTATAAGGATTTTAAAATATTGCACATATCAACTATTTAGTTCAAAGCCTGGCACAGAATAGACAATAAACTACGATCAGAATCAGCCATGACACATGGATTCCTCTCCCTTTCCTTTCTCAGTCTAATACTCTGTTCCTAAAACCTGTGGGGGAAGGAAGACACACCAGTGACCTTGCATCAGAAAAATCAAGTATAACTGTTTGTGTGTGTGTGCGCGCACACACACACACACACGCGCACACTCTACTGCAGCCATCTGACACTGAAACTACGTTCTATATTCATCCTCATATTTTTAAGAATAATAAATAAATGTTGCTAATAATAAGATATTCAGAAATGAAGATGGGGAAAACAAAACATTGTTTTCAGAGTTCTAGTGGTAAATAAAGCAGAGCTCTTTGCAAATCCTTGATCAAAGAATGTTACTCCTCTGTTAAGCAAGGTCACCCTCTCACTGAAAGCAAAACCTCACAAAAGATACAAATGAAGGATGATGGGACAGGATACACAGGTAGAAAGCCAACCCTGTGCAGAGGATGTCAGAGCCACACATGGCCTCCTTAAGCTCTTCCAAATATTTGCATACTTACATACATATTCTGCAGTCAGTTTGGGTCCAGGTGGCAATTTTACCTGGCACTTTCAGCAGACAGGAAAGGTCAACAAAGAATACCCAGGGTTCTTTGGCAACTGACTCCATCATCATCAAACATCTGTATAACATTTATATTTTTCAAAGTACTTCCTCATACATTATTTAATAAAGTTTTTGAGCATCTGACTTGTGCAAAGCAATATGTCAGGAGTTCTAGGGAATTTTAGACAATAAACAAGTTAAGCAGCAAAGGTAAAGGAAAAGATATCAACATTCTTATTCATCAGACACTGATTGACACTTTGAGGTGCTAATATATCAACAATAAATAAGACGTACTTCTCATCCTTGAGAAGGTCACAATAGTCACAATAATAATTCTAAATTCTGATTTCACTGAACGTTAGTAAACATAAAAATAATGGTTGAATTGCGATTCTCATATTACCAGTGAGAAAACCATAGCTTACAGAAGTTAAGTACCTTGCCCAAGGTCACAGAAGAGGTAAATTATATAGCCACTTTTTGATGTGTCAGCAAAAAAAGGAACACTAGAACTAACTGTGACCAACAGCACATTTTTAGCATTTAAAAAAAATGCATATATACATAAAATCATCCAGTTAGCTTTCACACATGAATTGTAAGACTTAACCACTCATCAATCAGGAAAGTTCTGAATGTGGACAAACAACATTTGCCAGACATGGGACATTGCAATAAAACAGAAGGGAATGGGGAGAATTTATGCACATCAAAAAAGAAGCTAGTTATTCCAGCTTCTAGTGCTATTGGTCAGGAAAGCTCCAGCTGGGAATTTTAAAAGTCAGATTCATTTCATGGTGTGATGGAGAAAGTGATAAAGGCAGAGAATTTTCTTCAAGCTGAGTGTTTATGGGATATTAGTGATTATCCTATGTTGATGCAATCAAGTTAGGTCATAGAAGCACATTTTTAAAGTTTACTAAAAAGATTCTTCAGATCAAGATTTTAAATTAAATATGGCTGGGCGTGGCAGCGCACACCTATAATCCCAGCAACCCAGGAGGCTGAGGCAGATGGATTGCAGAGCCCAGGCCAGCCTCAGAAACTTGGCAAGACCCTCAAAATTTTTAAAGAGGGGTGAGGGAATGCTAGGGATATAGCTCCGTAGCAAAGTAGCCCTGAATTCAATTCCTAGTACCATAAATAAATAAATAGAATTAAATAACTTGAGTCCAAATTTTATGCAGCCCCTCCTACCCATCAAAAGAATGATTTACAAGCTTATATTTGCCATGTGACAAAGCATGTGAATACAGTAGTTGAAACTTCAGGGGAAGGAAAAGGAGCATTGCTGATAAGTTCCAGAAAGTATAAATCTAGGCACATGGATTTAACACATAAAAACTAGAAAAAGCTTTAATCTTGTTTCTAAACGGCACTAAGCTCTCTTTTAAAAAAAAAAAATCATAAGCCAGGCACAGGGCACATGCCTGTACGCCAGCTACTTGGGAGGCTGAGGCAGCAGGCTCATGAATTTGAGGCCAGCCTGGGCAATTTAGCAAGACCCATGTTCCCTCCAAAAATAAAAATCATCGATTTTTGAAGAACTGAGGAGCAATTTGGTGGGAATTAAATAATTTCAGAGACATGCAGAGGCTGATGGCTATGAATCATTCTTTAAGTTTCTACATCTGCATTCAATACTGAAGATATACCTGGAATTATAAAACATCCATCTAATCTATGTGGTCCAATTTCAAAAGAAAATGATTGAGCTGAAAAGAGATTCTACTCCCTCAGACACAGATGTCCCAGAATTGCTTCAATAAGAAGGGGAATCACAGCCAACACTGTTTTCAAATAGCTGCCTATGTGGACAACCACTGGGAAATATTTGGGATCCTGCTCTCTTGTGGAAAAATATTCCATTCCACAACAGTACTAAAGTCAGTGGCGATTAATGATCAACTTGGAACTAAAATCAGATGTACATCTTTTTCAGGGTGTAGTATACAATATTCAAGAATAATTCAGTCCAATATATCATAATATTTTCTTTAACTTGATCAAAATTGAACAATTAAATATAAAACTGTACCTCTTTAAGTACCATTTTTGAAGAATTTCTAAAACACAACCAGCATTTTTGTCATGTTTACCATGTGACAGGCACTATTCTAAGCACTTTACCACACAAAAAAAGAATTTTGACTCTGATTTTATTCCCCTGCCATTATTATTTTTATAGATAAGAAAACTGAAGAAATAGTTATCAGTTTTAAAATTCATTCAATCCGGGGTGGAGTTGTAACTCAGTGGTGGAGCGCTTGCCTAATGTGTGAGGCACTGGATTCAATTCTCAGCACCACATATAAATAAGTAAAATAAAGGTCTATCAACAACTAAAAATATATTTTAAAAATTCATTCAGTCATGTATAACTGTAATTTCACTCAATCAGCAAATGCTTATTGAGGGTCAACTATCTGCCAAATCCTGGGAATATAATACTGTATAATATAACCACAGCCCCTGAGCTCATGTAGCAGATGGGAAAGCATGATAAATGAACAAAAAGGAAAAGTATTTTTTAAAGGTCTACAAGAAATAAGCAAAGGGTTAAAATAGAGGATAAATAAGAGGTTAGAGAGAGAAGCAAAAAAAAAGTCAGAGAATATCTTTTTTACATAGAGTATTCCATGAAGGCCTCTCAGAAGAGATGATACTAAGACAAAAGATGAGAAAGCCAGGCTTGGAGTTGCACACCTATAATCCCAGCTACTCAGGCGGCTGGGGAAGGAGGAGTTTGAGACCATTTTGGCAATTTAGCAAGACCCTATTTCAAATAAAATGGAATGGGGTTGGGGAAGTAGCTCATTGGTAGAGTGCTTGTCTAGCATGAGCAAGGCTCTGGTGGGTTCAATCCTTAGTTGTACTACAAAAAAAAAGAAAAGAAAAAGAAAAAAACTAGGCTTAAAAAGTAGAAGAGGTTTTAAGACTACTAAATGAAGACAATCAAACCACACACACCTGAAATGCCACTCAACTGCAGAAAAGAAATTTTTTAAGACAACAAGAAAGAAGAAACAAGCAAGAAGGCACAAAACAACATAGTTTTAGAAGCTTGAAAACCAATAGGCAACTGGCAGTTGACTGGGCAGAACAATCATCTTCTTCAGGCCAGCAACACAGAAGGCTAAAAAAAAATCAAGGCATGTGCCTCTCAGAATTCTCAAAAGGCCCCAAACAAACAGCATTAGTTAGCCTGGAACTAGAGGTGAAGGGAAGGGGTAAGAGTGCCAAAGGGGTAGGGGAGGAGGCAGGATGGCTGAAAAGAGTTTAAGAGAAACCCTAAATTCTCTCCCTTCCCTCACATCCCTGAGGGGACATTTCTCCCCAGCTCAGCAGATCTGAAGAATCTGCCTAGAAAGAACATACATCAGAGGGACTCTGTAATGCAGACCACACACATTTGAAGACAGAAGTAACCTACATAAACCAAGAAGATCTGCTGGTTATACGAACTGTGAATGGTGAACGCAGAGCTGAGAGGACATCTGCCCCCCAACACCTATCAGCCAGACTCTTACCCTTTAGGCTGGAGATTGGACACCTCTTCTTTCCTCTTTCCTTCTGTGAACCTGACCAAAAAGGCCAGATCTAAAGACAATGAAGTCAGGGGTTCCTCTGATAAATGATTTACCAAGGGTTGGGCTTCTTGGCCCAATCCTTAATCATGAGTAGACAGCAAGGAATGGACAGACATCTAAAGAAAGCCTACAACATGTAAGAGAGACTAGAAGGAACAGAAAATCAACTTTCAGGAAGAAGGCCTATACAGAAGAAGAAAACCTTTTTTAAAGCCACTGTAATCCCAGTGGCTTGGGAGGCTGAGGCAGGAGGATTGTGAGTTCAAAGCTAGCCTCAGCAAAAAGCGAGGCACTAAGCAACTCAGTGAGACCCTGTCTCTAAATAAAATACAAAATAGGGCTCAGGGATGCGGCCTCTCAGAAGGTCAGTGGTCAAGTGCCCCTGAGTTCAATCCCCGGTACTAAAAACAAAAACAAAAACAAACCTGTTATTAATATCAGAAAGAGGATCTTCTACCCATGAATGAATGTTGTCATACTAAGAAAAAATGACATACAAAGAAAAAAAAGATTTTGTGCATTTTAAAAACAGAAATAGTCCCAGAAATAATCAACAGAAAGGTCAGAAGAAACAGATGAGGAAATTTCACCAAAGTACACCAAAAAAAAAAAAAGAGCCAAAATCTGGGAGATGATTAGTACAGAAGATTCCAGAAAAAGACAATAGCAAAAGCAGAAGGGTTAAAATCATTAACAAATTTTTTTTAAATTTTAGATAGTAGCAAATTAAGAGGGCTCATTACAATGTAGAAACACCACAATGCACATCATTGCAAAATGTCAGACACTGGAGACAATGAAAAGATTCCATATACTTCTAGTACTTCTAAAATTTTTTGCATCACTTAGGAAAGATAAAGAATCAAAATAGCCTAATCCTCCTCAAAAGCAACACTGGAAGCAAGACAATCCTGAAGTCATGCCTTCAAAACCCTGAAAACAAAACATTCTCAAATTATAATTCTATATTCATGCAAACTACAAATCATGAATACCAGCCAGCCTTTCTCCTGGAATAAGAAAGACTCAATTGTATGTCAGGCAGAGAGGGCAATCAATCAAGACCAGAGTAGCAGAGCTCAAGAGAGAGAATGTTCAAGTTCCCATCTTCAAGAGCCCATGCCCACTATACTGTGTTTCAAAAGCAGAATACTGGGCAAGTGGGGTTCAGATTCTTATGTGTATTCATGTGTTCAATGAAGTTCCCACTCCACAAAATTCTCAAATAGCTAAGGACACCCATTTTTCCCCCAAAGAAGTATTCTGTTTTGACCTACTTCTAAGAGGTAAAGGTAGGTCGTGTTGAGCTTAAGCAGAAAATACAAAGCAACCCATTCCCCCACCACATTTTCCCCAGGGGTCTCCCAGCTTACAGTGTAGCTACCAAAACCCCAAGCAGGATGAATCCTTCTTTCCTAGGGCTCACTTCTGACCTTGCTCAGTGACATCCCAGGGAAGAGCTCTCAAGTAAGCTGAATCCAGAACTTCCCAGACTTCATTTAGTACAATATCTACATGATATGAAAGAGGGTATATAATTATGTGTATACTTCCCAAAACAGTAATATATATACACCCACTAACTTACTACCCAGATTAGAAGACAGAACATTTTCTGTATCTCACCTGTACCTATCTCAGATTTTATCCCCCTATCTTACTATAGACACAGTTTCTGAATTTTTCTGTTATCCCTCTCTTGCTTTTCTGTACAGTTTTGTTATCCAAATATCATATTAATTAATTTTAAAAAACTGAAGAATAAGCATAACCTCAGAAGGGTAAGGAAAACATAATAATGCCAAGGCTCCCATATTTACAAGTTTGATCATCACTCTTCTTCTTCTTTTTTTTTTTTTTAGTTGTAGATAGACACAATACCTTTATTTTATTTATTTTTATGTGGTGCTGAGGATCAAACCCAGTGGTAGGCAAGTTCTCTACCACTGAGCCACAATCACAACCCCTGATCATCACTCTTTTTTCAGGAATAAAAGAGCTGCCTGTCTTTATTTTGACCCAGAAACTGAGAGTGGGTGAATCGTCACAAGACTGGTTCTAAAGGCAACTACCATTTTTTAAAAATGAGTCAGCTTAAATATGCTAAAAGAGGAGGTTTCTGGGAAGAGGGCAATGGCAGCAGCACAGTTTTGAGCCAACACAAGGCCTCCCATTAAAACTCAACAGATTGACACCATTTGACCCAGCTATCCTACTCCTCGGTTTATACCCAAAGGACTTAAAATCAGCATACTACAGTGACACAGCCACATCAATGTTTATAGCAGCTCATTAATAATAGCTAAACTATGGAACCAACCTAGATGTCCTTCAACAAATGGATAAAGAAAATGTGGTATGTATGCACAATGGAATATTATTCAGCTTTAATTAAGAATGAAATTATGACATTTGCAGGTAAATGGATGGAACTAGAGAATATCATGCTAAGTGAAATAAGCCAATCCCAAAAAACCAAAGGCTGAATGTTTTCTCTGATAAGCAGATGCTGATCCATAGCGGAGGGCGGGAGAGAATGAAGGAACTTGGACTGTGTTGAGGGGAGTGACGGGAAGGTTGGGGTGGTGGGGATGGGAAGGACAGTGGAGTGAGACAGCCCCTATTTACCCTATGTACATGTATGATTGCATTACTGGTGTGACTGCACCCTATACAGTAGGAGGAATGGGAAGCTGTGCTTCATTTGTTGTACAGTGTGTCCAAATGCATTCTGCTGCCATGTGTGACTGATTGGAACAAATTTTTTTAAAAAGAAAAAAATAGAAGGGAGACCAGTAAAATAGAAGAAGAGAAACAAGGGGAGGGAAAGGGGAGGGAATGGGGAATGAAACTGATCAAATTATACTGTTTTATTGTGTGAATGTATGCATATACTATAACAAATTTTTAAAAACTAGACAGATCGGGCTGGGGTTGTAGCTCAGTGTAGAACACTTACCTGGCAAGTGTGAGGCATGGGGTTCAATACTCAGCACCACATAAAAATAAATAAATTAAAGCCAGGCACCAGTGGCGCACACCTGTAATCCCAGCGGCTTGGGAGGCTGAGACAGGAAGATCGTGAGTTCAAAGTCTGTCTCAGCAACTGTGAGGCCCTAAGCAACCCAGTGAGAGCCTATCTCTAAATAAAATAAAAATAGGGCTGGGGATGTGGCTCAGTGGTTGAGTGCCCCTGAGTTCAATCCCTGGTACCAAAAAACAAAAAAATGAAAGTAATTATGATTAATTAATTAATTAAAGGTATTGTGTCCAACTAAAACAATCTAAAAAAAAAAAAAACTCGACATATCAATGAGGATAACAAGACTAACAATGTCTACCTCATGAAACACATAAAACAGAAAGACAAACAACTCAGGTCAGAGACACACCCATGTGGTATCAGCATCCTTGCAGGAAGTCACAAAAGGAAAGAAAATGGTTGTCAGGACAGGAGTCCTCCCAGATGGTCAAAAGGACTCAATGGAAACCATGGTGGTCTAACCCAAAAACAGCCGTCAAGCAAAGGGCTTCTCCAGGTGACAGATCTGATGGTGCTGGAGCCTCTCAATCCAAAGTAGTCAAACAAAGCTACCTTCAAAGAAAGGCTGCATGGAGAAGCCACCGGGAATAGAATCTAGATTAAACAGTGTAAGGACACTAGATGAAAAACAAAGTATAAATGAAGGAGAGAAGAGAACCAAAGAAAGCATATCTCAAAAAGAATAAGGGCATATTTTTTAACCACGTTACAAAAAATAAGTAAATAATTAATGGAAGAGGGGCCCTAATATTACATTGCTCCTTCTTAAAAATTACAGAAAAATTTATTTCACCTAAAAAATTATCAAAAGCAAATCCCAGGGCTGGCTTGGGGATCAGTGGTAGAGCACTTGCCTGGCACATGCGAGGCACTGGGTTGGATTCTCAGCACCACATAAAAATAAATAAAATATACAATTTGATGTTTTAAAAAAAAAAACCAAATCACACACATTAATGTTAATTTAAAAGTTTTTAAGAAATCATAATAAAATAAAATCCCATACAAATTCAACACAAGAAAAAAAATACCACAGAAAACATGTAATATATTAGTAAATTTTGCCATTCCACAGTGTATACATATTTAAAAACAAAATACTGTATACAATAAGTATGTATAAATTTTCTCCATTTAAAAAATAAAATAACTTAGGGAAAAAAGAAAATGAGAATAAGATGTAGACATATCTGCTAAACAGATGAAAATTACAGCATAGCCATATTTTTTTAAATGTTAGACTTCAAAACAAGCTATAAGAAATTGGGGACTGGGGTTGTGGCTCAGTGGGAAAGCGCTTGCCTGGCATGTGAGGCACTGAGTTCGGTCCTCAGCACTGCATAAAAATAAATAAAGGCATGGTGTCAATCTACAACTAAAAAAAAATTAGAAAAAAAAAGAAATTAAGAAATTGTTGAAACTGTATTAGTAAAACACTGAAATTAAGTGATCAGTTAAAAGAAAGATCTTGGAAAGAAAGGTAACATTTTTATGGAGAGAATTAGAAAGGAAATAAATATTTCAAAAATTAAAACTAAATCGGTCAAAATAAAAGAATGAGTAAATACAAAGAGTAATAGTAAAGAAAAATAAGGCCTAGAAAGGGGAAACTCTTTCACACTTCCGTGGTGCTAGGGATGGAACTCAGGGCCTCATGCATGCCAGGCAAGCATTCTACGCTGAGCTATATCCCCAGCCAGGTAAAAGAGAAAGTCTTAAAAATTAAAAAGAAATGAAGCAGTTTCTGGTTATGATAAACTAAACCTCTACCAATGAGCCCTTTTCGTCCCACAGAAAATAACTAAAGAAGCTTCACATAATGGGAAAAGAAAAAAAAAAAAAAAAACAGCCACCAGAAGTTACAGGAGAATGAACAGAAGCCATCAGTTGCAGAATTCAAGCTCCCAGGAAAAGGAGGGGCAGGAGGGAACCAAGTGGCTTCTGGCTTCTGGGACTAAATAAAGTATTCAGACCACACAAGGTAAGGGCAGACAAGGAAAACCCTCAAGTTTTCTAGCCTGGGGATCTAGAAAAGGAAAGTTAGCAAACTGAATGCTCATGCAAATGGGGAAATTCTAAAAGGGAGCAGGAACAGAAAGGGAATCCCAAACTCTCCACATCTACCTCTCTGACTGACCCCTGAACCATACAAGTGCAAAATAATACACTGGGATATGCACCAGTTTAAGAGAAAAGATCTGAACAGAGTCACAAGCTACAACCTGAGCAAGAATTCGCATTTCAATTCCAACTAAGAAAATGACCCATTGAAATAAAGAAAACATAGTAATTGGGTATTAGAATCCAAAGTCTCCACACTTTAATATTCAAGACATCCAGTATAGGATTCAAAATTATCCAAAAAAAGAACAAATAAAATTAAACACATTTTCAAAAGAAATGAAAGTCAATCTAGTCCAATATTGAAATAAAACAGATGTCAGAACTCACAGACATGGATTTAGTGCAGTTGCTCTAACTATCCTCAATGAAGTAAAACAAAATACACTTTCAAAGCATGAAACGCTAAACAGAGAAATGGCAGGTCTCAGCAGGAAAAGCAAAAACAATGAAAGATGAATAAGATGGAAATTCTAGAAATGAAAAATATGACTTCTGAAATAAAAAAAAAATTCATGAGATGGGATATCAAACTTGAAAACAGATTAATAGTAAGTGTCCAAAGTTAAAAAAAGGGGGGTGGGGGGGATGGAGGTAAAAAAGAATAGAACTTCAGAGGCCTGTTAGATGATATCAAAGAATAAGATGTATGTGTAATGAGAATACATAAGGGAAGGAGAGAAAGAATGGAGGAGGGAAAATTTTTGAAGAAATAATGGCCAAAGATTTCCCAGATTTGACAAAAAAGCAGACATTTTCAAACACAAAATAATAAACACAGAGCAGAATAAATACTTAGAAGACCACCTGATATTTAAGCTGGCAAAAGCCAAATATAAAGAGCATCAAGATAAAAGCAATTGTATATACTTCATGGACATGTAACAATGGCTGAATTCCCCCTCTAGAAACATGAAGGCCAGATGGAATGACATCTTTAAAGTACTGAAAGAAAGAAAACAACTGTCAAAGCAGAATTTTACATTCAGCAAAAATATTATTCAAGAATAAAAGCAAAATAAAGACATTTCCAGATTTAAAAAATCTAAGAAATTTGGTCAAAAGCAGAGCTGCACCACAAAAAAAGAAAAGAGAAGTTGTTTTTTGGGCTAAAGAGAAATGGCATGAGATAGGAAGTCTCTCAGAAAATGGTAAATACCTTAAGTAAAAGCAAAAGATTGAACTTTCTTTTCCTCTTAATTTCTTTATGAGCCATATAACTTTAAAATTAAAGTCATAACACTGTGTTATGGAGTTTATGACATATGTATACATATTACAAAGAACAATTACCTAATAGATATATGAGCCCATAAATCTGCAAGATTTCTATATTTTATTTCTTTTATTTTGTTTTGTTTTGTCTGTCTTTGCAGTACTAGAGACTGAACCCAGGGCTTGGTGTATGCTAGGCAAGTGCTCTGCCACTAAGCCACATCCCTGGCCCAAAATTTCTATATTTTAAATAAAGTTGTACATTATTAACTATGAGTTAACTGTGAAAAATTAAGGATGTATATTTTAATTGCTAGAGCAACCATTATTTTTAAAATGAAAGAAAAAAATGCCTAAGAAGCCAATAGGAAAGTTTAAAAAGTTGAAAGGAAATTGATGGAAAATATATATACCACACAAACTGTAAACAAAAGTTGGAGTAGCAATATCTGTATCAGATAAAATAGATTTCAAAATATATTAGCAAGGATAAAGAATACACTTCATAGCAAAAAATGAACATTCAACAGGAATAGCCTATATATGAACCCAATCACAGAGCTTCAAAACACATAGAACAGAAATTGACACCTTTAAAGGAAAAAATAAATTCCAAAATCACGACTGATGGGAAAAATTAGATAAAAATCAGTAAAGGCACAGAAGATTTTAAAACATCACCCAACAATTGTAAAAATGCACATTCTTTTCAATTGCACATGGAGTGTTTACCAGTATAGGCTATATTAGGGGCCCTAAGACAAGTCTCAATGAATGTCAAAAAATTAAAATCACACAGACATGTTCTCTGACAAAAATGGATTCAGGTTAGAAATCCAAACCAAAGATAACCAGAAAAATTCCAAATATGTGGAAATTAAACAACATATTTCTAAAGAAACTTTGCCAAAATAGAGTGAAATTATAGACTATTTCAAACCCAGCAATAATGAAGATAAAACCTATCAAAATTTGTAGGATGCAGTTAAAGCAAGACTCATAAAAAAATTTATGGCTATAAATTAGTTTTATATTACAATGGAAGAAAGATCTCAAATCTATATTACAAACTTTCACTTTAAGACACTAGACAAAGAGCAAATTAAACCAAAAGGAAACAGCTAAATTCAGAAATCAATTACATAAAAAACAGAAATGATACAGAAAATCACCAAAACCAATGTTGGTTTTCAAAGAAGACCCAAAAATTTATAAACATCTAACCAAACAAATCATGAAGGGAAAAAAAAGAGATATTAATTGCCAATATCAGAAGTAAAGGAAGTGCATAGCAACAAATTCCACTGGTGTTAAAAAGGACAATAAGGGATTATTACAAACAACTTTTTGCCAATAAATAGACATCTGGACAAATCTGTCACACAGACAAACTCCTCAAAAGACACAAATAACCATAACCCACCTGTGATAGGATGATATTTTGTTGTTGTTTTCAACCACAGTTTCTGGCTCATAACTCCCACAGCCCTTGTTATTTACTAAATGACAAGAACAGTGAAGTTCAAGTACATGGCCTTTGTCTTTGGTTCCTTTGGAACTGCTTCAGAGAGCTAAAGGTAAAGGGATTTATGATAATGTGGGGGCACTTCAGGCCTCAGAACAGGCCTCAAAGAGTTAAATCTCTCCTTCTGATCACCTGCCCTTCTTCACCTGCTCCTTTTTCTCCCTAAGACAGGCTAGGGAACT